AAGTGCAACTAATGTGACATTTTATTGTGGCAACGTTTCGCTCTCCAGGAGCTTTATCAAGCCATTACAAACAATACATGGACACAGAGGGTATATAAAGGCTCAGAGTGAGGTGTAATACTAGCCTTTATATACCCTCTGTGTCCATGTATTGTTTGTAATGGCTTGATAAAGCTCCTGGAGAGCGAAACGTTGCCACAATAAAATGTCACATTAGTTGCACTTGTGTCCTTTTACTTTACATATTGTCGGTAATTCTACCAACTTTATTATAAACACAAATATGTTAAAAAGTTAAGAAACATCATGTATGAGAACGGGCTGGAGGTATCCTCCCCTTCCTTAGATCAAATATGATTACTTCCCATATACCTTCTAGTCTCCTGAATCTTAACAACACACTTCGTTCTCTAGATATCAAACCTGTCGCCAAACTAATATTCTTCGCAATAATCTTGTTCATACCTCTCTTACCACTGATAGTTCCGGAATCTACTCCATTCCCTGCTTTTATCCTCTTCAATATTTTGGAGAAACTTGTCGCTCCATTTCTTACAGACTTAAAGAACATAAAAGATGTGTTAGCCTTGCTGACACTAACAATGCTCCTTTTCGTCATATTAAAGATCACGGTCATCCTATTAACTGGTCCTCTGCCAAAACTGTCTGCCCTTCTAGCCTTCACAGACACCGTCTTATTAAAGCATTCTACATACGCAACACTCCTAACATGAATCTTAGTCCTGGCTTTGTAGTTGCCTTCCTTTCTCCTTACATTGTCAAATGCTACAAACTTCAGAACACTCTGGACTACCTGATGTTTATCTCCTCCTATCCTTACCATGACACAACTATCATAGACCTGACATCAATGGCCTACTATATAGAAAGTCACTGGTTATACAGGGCATTTCTGGCAACTTAGATTAAACTTGTCCCCCAGGATGCGACCCACACCAGTCGACTAACACCCAGGTACCCACTTACTGATAGATGTACAAGGGGTAGCATGTGTAAGGAAATATGCCTAACGTTTTACCTGTGCCGAGTATGAATTTTCGAACCCTCCTCTTGTGAGCCGAGGACGCTACCCACCAAGCCATGCCAGACAGGTCCAGCTCACACCCACTAACCTATAATCTGAACGTTGCAACGCTGGCGGTACGATAATGGGCTGAACTAGCCTGGACCACCTTGCTGGACTCAGCGAGGTGACAAGAGCGAGGCAGACATATAAGGCAAGAAGTGTACAGAACAAGGCTGGGAAGACTTTATCAACCAGAACAAGAGGTAAACTGGTTCCTCCTGCCTCTCTACAGAGTCCAAACTGCTCGCCTAAATTAGCAAGCATTCTTGCTATGAGGGTCATAAGTTTTACATGAAAGGCAGAGTACACACTAGTATGTCTTGTTCTGTCATTGTTAATTGTATCAGTGTACACACTACTGCATCATAGTACATACCACTGTATTTGAATACACACTATTGTATCAGAGTACAGACTACTGTATCAGGTAAGTACACACTGCCGTATCAGGTAAGTACACACTGCCGTATCAGGTAAGTACACACTGCCGTATCAGGTAAGTACACACTGCCGTATCAGGTAAGTACACACTGCCGTATCAGGTAAGTACACACTGCCGTATCAGGTAAGTACAGACTACTGCATCAGGTAAGTACACACTACTGCATCAGGTAAGTACACACTACTGCATCAGGTAAGTACACACTACTGCATCAGGTAAGTACACACTACTGCATCAGGTAAGTACACACTACTGCATCAGGTAAGTACACACTACTGCATCAGGTAAGTACACACTACTGCATCAGGTAAGTACACACTACTGCATCAGGTAAGTACACACTACTGCATCAGGTAAGTACCTGACGTAAGTATACACTACTGCATCAGGTAAGTACACACTACTGCATCATACAAAAAGCAAATACACACACTACTGATGAATCATACAAAGAGCAAAGTACACAGACAACTGGTTACCACATTAATAATTTGTTTCAGTACACTGCCAACTTAAAACAATTATTTACTGCTATAATTATCATTACTCGTGTTGCCAGACGTCACTAGCAAAATATAGAAATAATTAGACAAAACACCTTCGTCTATCTACCGCTAATCGATATGCCAACCAGCCACCAGAATCTTGCCTTCATTGTAAATGAAAACAAGTAGTAGTGGATATATCATATGAAAATATCCTCAACAGGATACAGATTTAGTGTGATCACACTGCTGAAACACCTAGCAACAAGTTATGAGGATGTTGCCATCATCGTGCAGCAAGCCATACACGTTGCCGTTAATTAATAAGCAGACATAAGTCATTTTATTACATATGCTGCTGTTTATATTCTACTTTACCAATATCTGAAGCGAGCATTACAGAGATCAATGGTGATGGAATTCCCTACAAGGTGTGCATGCCGATGTGAAAATCCCTTTAACATTTCCATATGCAGATGAAATCGTGCCAACCTAGCATGTACAATGCTTTGTTCTTAACATGCATTATTCAAATGTTGCAGTGATTAAACAAGATCAACATCTGATGACGAGGAAGAGCCACGTGACACGTGAGGGTAAGTTAACAAGAATGTGTTTCTTTCCTTTGGTTGAGGGAGGACAAGCAACAGAGGCGTTCATTAAGCCAAATATGAAAAAAAAAAATAGGTGAAGACAGGGGGCAGCAAGTGCCCCTAGATCAGTATTTCCTGAATTTAGATTCTAACTGGCACAATTTTGCATTTAGTTTAACCTAGAACAATTCATTGCTTGGTTATTTTTTTATTTCCTATTAAAAAAGGATCGTATTTAGTAGCTATGTTTTTTCAAAATATCTGAAAATGCTGAGAACTGAGAGATGCAGTTATGTTTGAAAGTGGTGTTGAAGGGAAGCCAAATACGAGTATAAGTTATAAACCGAGACGCCAAAATAAAGATCACCCTAGTAGCTGCTGGACTAGCCAGGAGGATGACTTGACATGGGTGAAAGGCCCCTTCCTCTAATCAAACACTATTTACCAGGAGTTTTATAAACCCCTACGTGTTTAGCACATCCTCATGAATGGTATAATAATCCTTAAACATTGCACTCACAGAAGTTTTTCCACCCAACTGACTTGAATAAAAATACTGCGCGAGCGCCTGGTAGCAATCAATGATTACACGAAGCTTTTAATTGTTTCAATTTATTCCACTGGTGTTGATCAAACACCCACTGAATTAATATTAACCTAATGATTCTTACATTCGTGGAGCGGCTCCTGGAGAAGCAGGAAGCCATCACTCCAGCAAGCACACACAACCAACGTCCTGCATACTTATACCTTTGAATTAAATTTTTAAGCTTTGTTGATGCCGTAGGGGGGGGGGGTATCATGTTTATGAGAAAGCTCGAAACCCGTAGGGATCATACAGCGCCTCGAGGAAAAAGTGGTAATAAGCTTTGAGCCGAGGAATGGAAGAGAACACCTCCATTACCTTGAAGAGCTCTAATTAAACTCTCATCATTGTTAAACCCAGTAACAACAAATATTGTGTTATACATCAATGTTTATGGTGTTATCCATTAATGTTTATGGTGAAATTAAGACACATGTGCAACATCTGGATATCTTTATTGTAGACGTTTCGCCATCCAGTGGCTTTATCAATACAAATTCTAGGACATAACTTGAAGACAATATGACTATGTACAGAAGTTGAGGTAATCAGTCCCTCAACCTTGGAGTAGGTGCGAAGAGCACCGTAGTCCACGACTACGGTGCTCTTCGCACCTACTCCAAGGTTGAGGGACTGATTACCTCATCTTCTGTACATAGTCATATTGTCTTCAAGTTATGTCCTAGAATTTGTATTGATAAAGCCACTGGATGGCGAAACGTCTACAATAAAGATACCCAGATGTTGCACATGTGTCTTAATTTCATCTTGTCGGTATTATATACCATTCTTGCTCAATGTTTATGGTGTTATCCATCAATGTTTATGGTGTTATCCATCAATGTTTATGGTGTTATCCATCAGTCACAACATTACTGTTATCCATCAGTCACAACATTACTGTTATCCATCAGTCACAACATTACTGTTATCCATCAGTCACAACATTACTGTTATCCATCAGTCACAACATTACTGTTATCCATCAGTCACAACATTACTGTTATCCATCAGTCACAACATAACTGTTATCAGTCACATTACTGTTATCATCACAATCACAGCACTTATCATCACAATCACAACATCACTGTTAACATACAATCACATCACTGTTAACATCACAATCACAACATCACTGTTAACATCACAATCACAACATCACTGTTAACATCACAATCACAACATCACTGTTAACATACAATCACATCACTGTTAACATCACAATCACAACATCACTGTTAACATCACAATCACAACATCACTGTTAACATCACAATCACAACATCACTGTTATCATCACAATCACATCACTTAACATCACAATCACAACATCACTGTTAACATACAATCACAACATCACTGTTAACATCACAATCACAACATCACTGTTAACATCACAATCACAACATCACTGTTAACATCACAATCACAACATCACTGTTAACATCACAATCACAACATCACTGTTAATATCACAATCACAACATCACTGTTAACATCACAATCACATCACTATCATCACAATCACATCACTGTTAACATCACAATCACATCACTGTTAACATCACAATCACAACATTACTGTTATCATCACAATCATAACATCAGTTATCACACTCACAACATTACTAACACTGGGAGCCTCATATATTATGTGAAAGGAGGAAAAAAAATTTTTGAAGTGTCCACACTGGATTAATTTTGGTTCCTAACATCCATGAACATTTCTATTACGCCACTGTACTACCTACTGCAACACTCTTGTACACAAAGAAACACATGTGTAACACAGAACACTTCTCACACAGAGTTGTAGCGGAGATACGACAACACACAACCCGTGTGACACCTGGAGCAGTACTGACATCCACTGCTGAGTGAGACCGTCTTGCTGACGGTGAAAGCTGTGACGACATGGCTGACACCGCCATGCCATATGGTGATGTCACGGCTGACACACCACCATACTATATGGTGACGTTACTGCTGACACCGCCATGCCATATGGTGGTGTCACGGCTGACACACCACCATACTATATGGTGACGTCACGGCTGACACCGCCATGCCATATGGTGACGTCACGGCTGACACTGCCATGCCATATGGTGACGTCACGGCTGACACCATGCTATACGGTGTCAGTTGTAACACACCACCATGATATCTGGTGATGTCACGACTGACACACCATGCTATATGTTGGTGTCAGGAACGACACACACCACCACACTCTGGTTGTGTCAGGAACGACACACACCACCACACTCTGGTTGTGTCAGGAACGACACACACCACCACACTCTGGTGGTGTCAGGAACGACACACACCACCACACTCTGGTGATGTCAGGAACGACACACCACCACACTCTGGTGGTGTCAGGAACGACACACACCACCACACTGGTGGTGTCAGGAACGACACACACCACCACACTCTGGTGGTGTCAGGAACGACACACATCACCACACTGGTGGTGTCAGGAACGACACACACCACCACACTGGTGGTGTCAGGAACGATACACACCACCACACTGGTAGTGTCAGGAACGACACACACCACCACACTGGTGGTGTCAGGAACGACACACACCACCACACTCTGGTAGTGTCAGGAACGACACACACTACCACACTGGTGGTGTCAGGAACGACACACTAAAGACTGAACTCGTAATAATGAATTTAAATTAAGAAGGATGCAGGAAGTACAGGTTCGGGAGCAAAGTTTTTGACGAGCAGAGCATTTTGCCAAGTAAGTAAGTAGTGTCACACAGTAATCAAACATTAGGTACTTTTAAAAATAGGTGACACAAATGCATGGGCGAGAAGGGGTGAATTTGAATGGTATCATCGACACCATGCCCAGCCCTTCTAGGGTGCCTGAGCCCGAGCTTTCAGCTCACAAGACTGTCATTCCCATTAGCTCCCTTGGGGCGGGGATGGCAGACCAGAGAGGCCTAGCTTCTCCCTACGAGCCCCGCGAGGGCGGGGAATGTGGCTAGGCCTGGGGACAGTTGGTCCCAAGGCTGAGGGGGTACTTGTACCTCCTCCCATGGGAGACTTAGGTCTCAAGACACTCCCTAGATAGGGAACCAAGGCCGGGTCACCACTTGGAAAAGGCCCGGGCCGGGAGAATACTGGTGAATCTTTAATAATAATAATAATAATTGAATGGTATCTGCGGAGCATGGGTTAGTAAGTTCCCTAAAGCTCAAACCTTAGGTAGCCTTCAGAAGGACTTGCCAAGCATGGGCAAGTGTTCTTCCATTCTGATACTTAAGACTGTGTTGTGATCTTTAACATGGGGGGAATGAATTACTCACCCAGGATAACCCTCTAAAGTCAGTGCGTCATCGAGAGTTGCGAGTTAACATCTGTATTATGCACCCCATACCTATCCTGTGGACGGTAGTCAAGATTATGGAGGTACATAATGGGTCCAGGGACTGGACCGCAAAGTTTTGATAGCTGAACAAGTGGTTTTTTCCATGTGGGTCGCTCCCACAACAGTCGACTAACATCCAGGTAATTACTTATTACTAGGCGAACAGAGACAATAAGTGTAAACATGAAGAACGTTTCACCCATGCCGGGGATCAATCCTGGACCCTCTGTGTGTGAGGACAATGTCAACCAAGCCACGAGGCCTGAGAGAAGCCTGTTGCTGACTCAGTGTGAGCATCTGGCTAGTTAGTTGTGCCGCCTGGGCTGCTGTTTATTGTGTTCATTATGTGAGCTGCTAGTTTACTGTGCATATCATGCTCATCCTGTGAGTAATATATTCATCCCATCCTCATCCTGTGACTAATATGTTCATCTCATGCTCATCCTGTGAGCTGCTAGTTTATTGTGCACCCCATGCTCATCCTGTGAACTGCTAGTTTATTGTGCACTCCATGCTAATCTTGTGAGCTGCTAGTTTACTGTGCACCCCATGCTCCATGCTCATTCGGTGAGCTGCTAGCTTATTGTGCACCCCATGCTCCATGCTCATTCTGTGAGCTGTTAGTTTATTGTGCACCCCATGCTCCATGCTCATCCTGTGAGCTGCTAGTTTATTGTGCACCCCATGCTCATCCTGTGAGCTGCTAGTTTATTGTGCACCCCATGCTCATCCTGTGAGCTGCTAATTTATTGTGCACCCCATTCACATCCTGTGAGCTGCTAGTTTATTGTGCACCCCATGATCATCCTGTGAGCTGCTAGTTTATTGTGCACCCCATGATCATTCTGTGAACTGCTAGTTTATTGTGCACCCCATGCTCATCCTATGAGCTGCTAGTTTATTGTGCACCCCATGATCATCTGGTGAGCTGCTAGTTCATTGTGCACCCCATGCTCATCCTGTGAGCTGCTAGTTTATTGTGCACCCCATGCTCATCCTGTGAGCTGCTAATTTATTGTGCACCCCATTCACATCCTGTGAGCTGCTAGTTTATTGTGCACCCCATGCTCATCCTGTGAGCTGCTAGTTTATTGTGTACCCCATGCTTACCCTGTGAGCTGCTAGTTTATTGTGCACCACATGCTCCATGCTCATCCTGTGAGCTGCTAGTTTATTGTGCACCTCATGCTCCATGCTCATCTTGTGAGCTATTTTATTGTGCACCCCATGCTCATCCTGTGAGCTGCTAGTTTATTGTGCACTCCATGCTCATCTTGTGAGCTGCTAGTTTATTGTGCACTCCATGCTCATCTTGTGAGCTGTTAGTTTATTGTGCACCCCATGCTCCATGCTCATCCTGTGAGTTGCTAGTTTATTATGCACCCCATGCTCATCCTGTGAGCTGCTAGTTTACCTGGAGAGAGTTCCGGGGGTCAACGCCCCCGCGGCCCGGTCTGTGACCAGACAGGGCCGCACCCCATGTTCATCATGTGAGTGGTAGTAGAATAATCAGAATTACAGTGGTAACAACGGATCTTTGTCAGACCCTACTAATGGTGACCCGTGGCCTGGTGGCTAAAGCTCTCGCTTCACACGGCGAAGTCTGGGTTCGATTCCCATCGAGGGTAGAAACATCGGACATGTTTCTACTAACAGAACACAGAGAGTAGTCGTCAACAGAGTAAAGTCCGAGGCAGCTACGGTGAAAAGCTCTGTTCCACAAGGCACAGTACTCGCTCCCATCTTGTTCCTCATCCTCATATCCGACATAGACAAGGATGTCAGCCACAGCACCGTGTCTTCCTTTGCAGATGACACCCGAATCTGCATGACAGTGTCTTCCATTGCAGACACTGCAAGGCTCCAGGCGGACATCAACCGAATCTTTCAGTGGGCTGCAGAAAACAATATGAAGTTCAACGATGAGAAATTTCAATTACTCAGATATGGTAAACATGAGGAAATTAAATCTTCATCAGAGTACAAAACAAATTCTGGCCACAAAATAGAGCGAAACACCAACGTCAAAGACCTGGGAGTGATCATGTCGGAGGATCTCGCCTTCAAGGACTATAACATTGTATCAATCACATCTGCTAGAAAAATGACAGGATGGATAATGAGAACCTTCAAAACTAGGGAGGCCAAGCCCATGATGACACTCTTCAGGCCACTTGTTCTATCTAGGCTGGAATATTGCTGCACACTAACAGCACCTTTCAAGGCAGGTGAAATTGCTGACCTAGAAAATGTACAGAGAACCTTCACTGCGCGCATAACGGAGATAAAACACCTAAATTACTGGGAGCGCTTGAGGTTCCTGAACCTGTATTCCCTGGAACGCAGGTGGGAGAGATACATGATTATATACACCTGGAAAATCCTAGAGGGACTAGTACCGAACTTGCACACGAAAATCACTCACTACGAAAGCAAAAGACTTGGCAGACGATGTAACATCCCCCCAATGAAAAGCAGGGGTGTCACTAGCACGTTAAGAGACCATACAATAAGTGTCAGGGGCCCGAGACTGTTCAACTGCCTCCCAGCATACATAAGGGGGATTACCAACAGATCCCTGGCAGTCTTCAAGCTGGCACTGGACAAGCACCTAAAGTCGGTTCCTGACCAGCCGGGCTGTGGCTCGTACGTTGGTTTGCGTGCAGCCAGCAGCAACAGCCTGGTTGATCAGGCTCTGATCCACCAGGAGGCCTGGTCACAGACCGGGCCGCGGGGGCGTTGACCCCCGGAACTCTCTCCAGGTCTGTTGCCTATGTTCACTCATCAGTGAAATGGGTACCTAGTTATTAGCCGATTGATGTGGGTCGCATCCTGGGACAAAATTTACCTAATTTGCGCGAAATGCTCAGCATAACAAGGGGCTTTCTGTATAGTAGTATGTCATTGATGTCAGCTAGGACTGTATACCTTGTACATGTACATGTAGTAAATAAAGATATTATATTATATTGTTATTAATGAGATGTTTTGTCATATCCTGTGAGGTTTGCATGGAGGTGTCTCTGAGTGGCTGGATGTTTGGACATTCTAAGATATAGTGTTCCATGAATGGCCCTGTCTACATATCTCTGACAGTAACACCTTAAGGCTCCTCATCTTCCACCATTTTTCTCTGTATTGGACTGATGAAGTCACTGGCTGGCGAAACGTTTCCAGGCTAAAAATACCTAAGTGTTGATAAATTAGATTCGCACATGTGTCTAATTTATCAACTTGTCGGTTCTCTTCTACATACCTAAGTGTTGCTGATTTCGTTATGAAAATGATAGGATGGGTACTGAGAACCTTCAAAACTAGGGATGCCAAGCCAATGATGATTCTCTTCAAATCACTTGTTCTCTTTAGGCTGGAATATTGCTGTACACTAATGACCTCTTTCAAGGCAGGTGAAACTGCAGACCTGGCAAATATACAGAGAACTTTCACTGCATACATAAGGACAATAAAGCACCTTAATTACCTGGAACAGTTGTAGTCCCTTGACCTGTAGTCCTTGGAGCTCAGGCGAGAAAGATACGTGATAATATACACTTGAAAAATCCCGGAAGAACTCATCCTAAATCTGCACACGGAAATCACTCCCTACGAAAGCAAAAGACTTAGTAGGCAGTGCAACTTTCCTCCAATTAAAAGCAGGGACGCCACAATAAGAGTTAGGGGGCCCAAGACTGTGCAACTGCCTCCCAGTATTCATAAGGGGCACTACCAACAGACCCCTGGCTGTCTTCAAGAGGAAGCAGGACAAGCACCCAGTCAGTACAGGACCAGCCGGGCTGTGTTTCATATGTCGGTTTACGTGCAACCCGCAGTAACAGCCTGGTTGATCAGACCCTGATCCACCACGAGGCCTGGTCATGGACCGGGCCGCAGAGACACTGATCCCCAGAACGGTTTAAACCTTGGTAATAAATACCCTTCAGGTATGTGTACCTGTACCTAAATAAACTTACTACCCTTTTTTTTTGGGGGGGAGGGGAGTATCCTAGGTAATTTACACTATGTACGATCATTGTACTTATGGTCTGGCTGGCAAAGCTCTCGCTTCACACACGGAGGACCCGGGTTCGATTCCCGGCGGGGTGGAAACATTTCGACGTGTTTCTTTACACCTGTTGTCCTGTTCACCTAGCAGCAAGTAGGTACCTGGGTGTTAGTCGACTGGTGTGGGTGGCATCCTGGGGGACAAAATTGAGGACCACAATGGAAATAAGACAGACAATCCTCGATGACACACTGCTTTGCATGAGTTATCCTGGGTGGCTAACCCTCCGGGGTGAAAAATCCGAACGAAATCTTATCTTATCCTCTCCCAGTTCCACCCATCTTAACTCTTAACTAAGCTTTGATAACCCTCAAAATCCTTAACAACAGCAACAGGTGAATATCCCAAATTTATCAGATTTTTTTGCATTGTGTAGAACTTTTGCTTCAGTAAACCCGACGGGGTGCATCTATATCTCATGTGCTGATAATTCTAATATTCGTTATTAGGTACATGGGAGTTATGGCGGTTTAGTAGAGGTATGTGGGAGAATGGGTATTAGGAGCAGGCAACCAGGTGCCAAGTTCTCAAGGTTATCTTTATATCACGTAAAATCTTCATACTAAATAAGTAAACATGTAAGTAAGCTTTATTTACAGTACAGCTCTCTAACTTGTGTATTTTCACACTCAAGTTTTTAATTTTCTGCATTAAAAATTGGTTATTATAGTAGTATTAGTATTCAGTGATAGAATATGAAGCCTTAACCTAGGATAAAACAACTGTCGTGTAACAAGATAAATAAGATAAGATTTCGTTCGGATTTTTAACCCCGGAGGGTTAGCCACCCAGGATAACCCAAGAAAGTCAGTGCGTCATCGAGGACTGTCTAACTTATTTCCATTGGGGTCCTTAATCTTGTCCCCCAGGATGCGACCCACACCAGTCGACTAACACCCAGGTACCTATTTGCTGCTAGGTGAACAGGACAATAGGTGTAAGGAAACGTGTCGGAATTTCCACCCGCCGGGAATCGAACCCGGGCCCTCCGTGTGTGAAGCAGGAGCTTTAGCCACCAGGCCACAAAATATAAATTTTTACAATGGTTTTAAGGGCACATAGATATGTATTATGGTCATATATATATATATATATATATATATATATATATATATATATATATATATATATATATATATATATATATATATATATATATATATATATATATATATATTATATATATATTTTTTTTTTCAACAAGTCGGTCGTCTCCCACCGAGGCAGGGTGACCCAAAAAAGAAAGAAAATCCCCAAAAAGAAAATACTTTCATCATCATTCAACACTTTCACCACACTCACACATTATCACTGCTTTTGCAGAGGTGCTCAGAATACAACAGTTTAGAAGCATATACGTATAAAGATACACAACATATCCCTCCAAACTGCCAATATCCCAAACCCCTCCTTTAAAGTGCAGGCATTGTACTTCCCATTTCCAGGACTCAAGTCCGACTATATGAAAATAACCGGTTTCCCTGAATCCCTTCACTAAATATTACCCTGCTCACACTCCAACAGATCGTCAGGTCCCAAGTATCATTCGTCTCCATTCACTCCTATCTAACACGCTCATGCACGCTTGCTGGAAGTCCAAGCCCCTCGCCCACAAAACCTCCTTTACCCCCTCTTTCCAACCCTTTCGAGGACGACCCCTACCCCTCTTTCCTTCCCCTATAGATTTATATGCTTTCCATGTCATTCTACTTTGATCCATTCTCTCTAAATGACCAAACCACCTCAACAACCCTCTTCTGCCCTCTGACTAATGCTTTTATTAACTCCACACCTTCTCCTAATTTCCACACTCCGAATTTTCTGCATAATATTTACACCACACATTGCCCTTAAACAGGACATCTCCACTGCCTCCAACCGTCTCCTCGCTGCTGCATTTATATATATATATATATATATATATATATATATATATATATATATATATATATATATATATATATATATATATATAGTATAATATTATACTATATATAATAATATTATATATATATATATAATATATATATATATATATATATATATATATATATATATATATATTATATATATATATATGTATATATATATATATATATATATATAAAATATATATATATATATATATATATATATATATATATATATATATATATATTATATATATATATATATATATATATATTATATTATATATATATATATAGTATGAATGTGGGGAATGAAGGAAAGGTTATGTCAAGTCATTATATGTTAATGAATGTTTAGCAGGACTGAAAGAATCAGAATATAATTCACTTTGTTAAATAGAAAAATTGCAGCTATATTGTACAGTGTGTGAAGTGGAAATTACATTAAAAATTAATATAAACTATTTTAATGTACTGTATGTGGGGGATGTCTTGATTCTGGTGAAGATGTTTTGATCCAAGGGATATGAGCTACCAGTTCTTCCTTGTAGTAAGCTAATTGCTTCATTTTCACCAGTTGATGTATGACCCCATACAAGTTTAATGGCTCCCAGTGAATATAATGCATGTTCCTTATACTAATGTTTGTATATGTGTAAGTGGATCAGGCAAATAAAATAAGGACTTCGATGAATTTAAATCCTTTTGACAGATTTTAAGATTTTGTTTTTTAACACATCGGCCATTTCCCACCGAGGCAGGGTGACCCAAAAAGAAAGAAAAACTTTCATTATCATTCAGCACTTTCACCATCACTCATGCATATCACTGTCTTTGCAGAGGTGCCCAGATACGACAGTTTAGATAGTCACTCCAAACTGCCAGTATCCCAGACCCCTCCTTTAAAGTGCAGGCATTGTACTTCCCAATTCCAGGACATAAGTCTGGCTAACCGGTTTCCCTGAATCCCTTCACAAAATATTACCCTGCTTACACTCCCACAGCTCGTCAGGTCCCAAAAACCATTCGTCTCCATTCACTCCTATCTAACATGCTCATGCACGATTGCTGGAAGTCCAAGCCCCTCGCCCACAAAACCTCCTTTGCCCCCTCCCTCCAACCATTTCGAAGACAACCACTACCCTGCCTTCCTTCCCCTACAGATTTATATGCTCTCCAAGTCATTCTACTTTGTTCCATTCTCTCTAAATAACCAAACCACCTCAACAACCCCTCTTCAGCCCTATGACTAATACTTCTAGTAACTCCACACTTCCTTCTAATTTCTACACTATGAATTCTCTGCATAATATTTATACCACACATTGCCCTTAGACAGGACATCTCCACTGCCTCCCGCCACCTCCTCGCTGTAGCATTTACAACCCCTGCTTCACACCCGTATAAGAGTGTTGGTACCACTATACTCTCGTACATTCCCTTCTTTGCCTCCATGGATAATGTTTTTTGTCTCCACAGATACCTCAACACTCCACTAACCTTTTTTCCTTCATCAATTCTATGGTTAACCTCGTCCTTCATAAACCCATCCGCTGACAAGTCAACTCCCAAATATCTGAAAACATTCACTTCTTCCATACTCCTCCCTCCATTGTGATGTCCAGTTTTTCCTAATCTAAATCATTTGATACCCTCATCATCTTACTCTTATCTATATTCACTTTCAGCTTTCTACCTTTACACTATATGCACTTATAGCACAAATGAACCCACATTATTGTGACAGTGTTCCTGCCATGGTATTGTGACATTTACTCTTTTATTTTTTATCATTACATATTTTTATATTTCAGATTGTAATGGCTGATGTATATACCAACCCAGAGAAACATGTGGTACTTCACAACAGTGTTAAAATGCCTATTCTTGGCTTAGGTAAAATATGTTGTATATCTCCTTTGTGCTAAATGATTCTTTGCATGCATATACTACAGTACATACTATATATGCAAAATAACCACAGTGAAAAAATTGTAAAATTCCAAATGCTGTCATGATTTCTTACCATTCCTTGATAATGTGGTACTCATGAAAGTGCTTGGAATTTCACTATTTTTTTCACTGGTAATTTTGCATATTGTGATACTACCTGTTTACTGTGATCTAATTGCATCAGTACTATACATGTATATTTATACCCTGTTTGTATTTTCCTAACCATAGTAGTACAGTGTACACCTTTTGTGTGGCTGTACATATCAACAAATTTTGTAAGGCAGTTGTAGATTTGGAAAGGTGGTATCATAACTCATGAAATCGTAATAACATAATTGGAAGTAAATCACAGAATGGTGAGCTTGCCATGGGTTTGAACCTTACCTGTTCTGTGATTCGAATAGGGCTAAGTTGCTGAAATCTTGAAGAGGAAAACAGTATTATCCAGTAAGAGTTGCTGTTAGAATATGATGTGTGATGTTGCTGTAATTGTTTAATGTGTTTTTAGATGTGGGTGTGAGATGTAAATGCTAAGGAGAGGTGTGGTTCCAGAGACCAGTAAATCCGAAAAGACTGAACAACATTATAATTTTTTTTACAGATAACATACCAGAAAATCTGTTGAGAGATTTATTAGTGGTAGTTTGCAAAGTTATATATAAGAAGGAAGTTGAAATTGAATGCAGAAAAGAGTAAAATGGAGAATAGGTTCAGATACTGTATAAAAAAAATTAAGAGGTCACATTTGAATAAACAGAAAAACTGCAAGGTCAAGCACACCCAACAGTATTAGAGGTCATGAATAAGAATTAAAATATATGCTTGGGTTTACTATGCCATAATTATATACAAGTATTTAAAATTTTACAATATATTGGCAAATAATTTTAGCTCTTATCTTAATTAATGCTGCTTCAGTATATGAATTCTGTATTAAACAAAAGCATATATATTGCAGGAACATCTCATGATGGTGGCTACAGCCATGAAGCTGTAGTTTATGCACTGAAAATTTGTGGTTATAGACACATTGATACTGCTAAACGGTACGGCTGTGAGACATACATCGCCGAAGCTGTGAAGGTAAACGTGTGCTCATGACATTGTCTACATCTACATTACTGTACTTGTTGCAACACACACATTTAACCCATAAACGGTCCAAGCAGATCTACGTTCACATGTGTAGTGCTACAAAAGAAGATCTACGTTTTTTTTACATATTTTCAAATGTAACAAAAAAAAAAGTAGATCAAAGTTTTTTACACATTTTCAAATGTAAAAAAACAAAAAGAAGATCTACTTTTTTTACATACTTTCAAATGTTGAAAAAACGTATATATACGTTTGGACCGTTTACGGGTTAATTAATGTTTCATCTATTTTAAAGGAAGTTTTTATTGTGATACATTTAAGTGTGGTTTTTATGACTTGACATGCTGTTGGAGTGTGAGCAAAGTAACATTTATGAAGGAATTCAGAGGAACCGGTTAGCTGGACTAAAGTCCTGGAAGTGGAAAGTACAGTGCCTGTGCTCTGAAGGAAGGGTGGAGATACAGTAGAAACCCCGTATCTGTGGGGGATACATTCCTTCTTTCTTATGTTCTTATACAGCAGGTTAGGCTCTGGGCTAATATTGTAAAGCAAAAATGAATCATAGCTTTTTTTCACTCTCAAATTAATATAAATGTGGATACCCGAAACCACGGTCAGTAGTGAACTCTATATGTAAGTTGTTTTTCGTTTACATACATACCTGTGATAAATTTTAATTGGTAAATTATGCACAATAAATCAAGAATTAGCACTTTTTCATTGATGGGAAGCACTTTCTGGCTTCTTTTAGGCTCTGGAGAACTACCAGCATCACTACTTTTGCACTTTGGGGCCGTTAATAAGCAAAATTAAGGGTTATTTTTGGGCCACACTAAACCTCAGATAACTGAAACCATGGAAACCAAACCCACAGATACAGGGGTCATACTGTATGTTGCAATTTTTGAACTGTAGTATCTGTATGCCTCTCTCAAGGCAGTGGTGGCATGAGTGAGTGATGATGAAAGTGTTTCTGATTCTTTTTATGGGTCACCTTGCCTTGGTGGAAAATGGCCAATGTGATAAAAAAAAAAAAAAAACATTAAAACATATTTTTAAATTCCAGATTTTTCAAGAATAAGTCCTTTTTTTTTTTTTAACACGTTGGCCGTCTCCCACTGAGGCAGGGTGACCCAAAAAAGAAACACTTTCACCATTTAGGGTGTCCCATAGCTCAATTGCTAGCACACTCATCTCAGACACTGAGGTCCATGGTACGTGTGGAAACATTAGGATGTATTTCCTTAAGGCGCCTACTGTCCCTGTTCACCTAGCAGTAGACAGGTACCCAGGTGTTAGTCATCTGGTGTGGGTCACATTCTGGGGACAGAATTTACCTTATTTGCCTGAAATACTCATCATAACAAGGGGCTTTCTATTTTCTATATAGTAGTTTGTCATTGATGTCAGCTAGGCCTGTGTACCTTGTACATGCACTTGTAGAAATAAAGGTTATGATTACTATTATTATCATCATCATCATTCACACTATCACACTCTTGTCAGAGGCACACAAATATGACAGTTTAGATGTCACTCTAAACAGCAAATATCCCAAACCCTCCTTTAGAGTGCAAGCACTGTACTTTCCACCTCCAGGACTCAAGTCCAGCTATCAAGTTTACCTGAATCCCTGCACTGAATATTACCCAGCTCATATTCCAACATCTCGTCAAGTCCAAAAAACTATTTGTCTCCAATCGTATCAAACACATTCACATATACCTGTTATATGTTCAAGCCCCTTGCACACAAAACCTCCTTCACCCCCTCCCTCTATCCTTTTCTTGGATGACCCCTACCCCACTTTCCCCCACTACAGATTTATACACCCTCCAAGTCATCCTATTTTGCTTCATCCTCACTAGATGACCAAACCACCTCAACAACCCCTCCTCAGCCCTTTGAATAATACGTTTAGTAACTCTGCACCTCCTCCTAATTTCTACAGTATGAATTCTCTGCATAATAGTAATTAAACCACACGTTGCCTTTAGACACGACATCTCTGCTGCCTCCAGCCTCCTCCTCCTCACTGCAACATTCACAATTCATGCTTCACACCCATATAAGAGTGTTGGTACCACAATGCTCTCACACATTTCCTTCCTTGTCTCCATGGATAACATTCTTTGTCTCCCCATATACCTCAGTTCACCACCCACCTTTTTCCCTTCATCAGTTCTGTGGTTTACCTCATCCTTCATATACCCATCCACTCCCAAATATCTGAACACATTCACTTCTTTCATACTCCCTCCCTCTAATCTGACATCCAGTTTTACCTTACCTAACTCGTTTGATACCCTCATCACCTTACTCTTATCTATGTTCACTTTCAACTTTTTAATGTGCAGGCCTCAGGAGTACCTCGTGAAGAAATCTTCCTGGCAACAAAATGTTGGCCCACAGATTATGGCACCACTGCTACCAGAGATGCCTTCAATGGTTCCTGTCAGAGATTAGCTTCCGAGTATTTAGGTAAGCAGAGTTCACTGGGTTGAAATTTCCTGTTATTACACTCGTAAGTGATAATGTTCTGTTCTGTATACAATGCTTGACTAGTTATTACAGAAAATGTGTATTATACTAAATTTGATAGCAGTGGTATTGTGAGACAACTGGTGATGTGTGAATAGATGTGATAACTTGGAGAGGGAGGTCAAGGGACTAGCTTATGCTGACACCATAGTATGACTGTGAGCAATTGAAGACCATACTGCTCCTTCAGTCTTAACAGAATTTATTGCGAATATGCGTAAAATCATTGATGGAATGATGTGCAGGGGAATAACGTGATTGGTAATGAACGAGCAAAACATAGACACGTAGAGGATTTTTTAACTGATGTATGCGAATGATAATACTAAAGGTGTAACTCACTTGTGATTTACAAAATATGTATAGTGTAGACATACCAAAGATATTGTAGGGTGTGCTGTAGGCAACTGTGATGTCTGCACATCCGGCCCTCTTTTGTTGATGAGGCAAGATAGATTATGAGGATGGCACAGCAGCTTAAAAAGATTTTAAGCATATGATTGGATCATATGATAATGTATTGATGCCTGAAAACCTTGGGGAAATGATGAGTTTGAGTAAGGAGGATAAAGATAGTAAAGATGAGGATGTGGTTCATGAACTTGGTGAAATTTATCTAAAATTCTTTTCCGAGCATGAAACAGAGGTACAGTAACAGCTCTCTTAGTCAAGTATATGTTGGAAGATCGACTGATGGACAGGAGTGTATATACAGCCTTTCTTCACTTAACGATGGAGTTCCGTTCCTGAGACCATGTCGTTAAACGAATTTGTCGCTACTACTAGTGAGTTTGTGTCATCCATCTTTGATATTGTTTTAATGTCACCTTTGCACCATTTAAAACATTTCTGGTATATTTTTAAATGTTTATACAGTAGTGTACTGTATATTGAAATAAATAGTATAGAGAAAATCAGCTCTAATGTACATTATTAGATATGAATACTGGTCAGAAAGCCCATCGTAAGTCTGAGGCATTGGTAAACGAGTACTTTGCTAAGTGAGGAGAGGCTGTATAAGCATTCAATTAGTTATTGCTTTATTAATCTTAAAATAGGCTTAAGGTTACCTGAAATGCTCTACATACTAAAGGGCTTTCTGCACTCACTACTAAATATCACCCATCTCTGTACGAACATTGTATCATGCTGAAATAAATAATCTGAATCTGAATATATCAACCCTACTTAAAGTCCCTATACCAAAAATTTCAGCATGCTCCAAGTAGATTTTTTTTTATTCTGTACTAGAATCACCATCTTAAACCCCAGCATAGTAACTACCTCAGACCCCACCACAGCCACTGCCACAGGCATTCCTACAGTCATCAACACAAAAACAGCTACTGAGAAGTAAGGCAATATTACAGAAAAATTATATTTTCTTTTTCTCACTCCAACACCATCACACAAAATGCATTACATTCATCAATCACATCGAAGGTAAATATTATATATTGTAAATTACAGTATACAATAGTATTTCACATTATATTATTGTACAGTAAAAGTTCATTTTAATGTACAGATCTGTATGATGCTAAAAATGTTAGCAATATTTGCCATTTCTGAATTGACTGGGATCTCTAAGATTCCCATATGTTGCATAAGTGTCTCGGTCTTCAAGATAGTAGGTTGGTAGACAGCAACCTCCCAAGGAGGTACTACCATCCTGTCAAGTGAGTGCTAAACGGAAACCTGTAATTGCTTTACATGATGGTAGGATTGTTGTGTCTTTTTTCTGTCTCATAAACATGCAAGGTTTCAGGTATGTCTTGCTACTTCTACTTACACTTAGGTCACACTACACATACACGTACAAGCATATATTTACACACCCCTTTGGGTTTTCTTCTATTTTTCTTTCCAGTTCTTGTCCTTGTTTATTTCCTCTTATCTACATAGGGAAGTGGAACAGAGTTCTTTCCCTGTAAGCCATGTGTGTCATAAGAGGTGACTAAAATGCCGGGAGCAAGAGGCTAGTAACCCCTTCTCCTGTATGTATTACTAAAGTTAAAAAGAGAAAATTTTGGTTTTCTTTTTGGGACACCCTGCCTCGGTGGGATACAGCCGGTTTGTTGAAAGAAGAAAAATTAAGGAATTATTGTATTCTTATGTAATTGGCATTATAATGGTATACTGTGTGTTGTTACCTTCAGATATGTACCTCCTTCACTGGCCAGATGTCCCTTCACGTGTCAAGGATAAAAAACAGCTCCTACAAGACACATGGCGCACACTGGAGGTCAGATATTGTGTTGCTGGATGTTGCACATCATTTGTAATACTGTGGTCCATGATAATATTGTAGTCCATGGTAATATTCATAATGAAATCATGCTTGTGTATATGAAATGTGGATTTATAGGTTTAAGTGTTTAGTATTTTTTACCATATGTAGTAAGATATGAAGAGTAATGTAGTTTTAGAATATTAATTTGACTGTTATCTTTGGTATCACACCATGCAGGAAGAAAAGAATGTCTCTGGTTCATTAACATTGATATTCTCCAGGTTCTACTTGATGAAGAGAGAGTGAGAGTGATTGGCATTAGTAACTTTTTAGAGCAGCACCTGGAAATGATAATGGAAGAGTGTTCGGTCATACCTCACGTCAACCAGTGTGAGTTTCACCCATACAACAACCCAAAGAAGCTCAGAGATTATTGTACAGAGAGAAATATCCAGTTTGAGGTGAGATTCATGATCTTAATAGATAACCTTAGTTATGTGAAGATGAAATTCAAATTGATTTTGTTTCTTGTGGTTTTTCTGTATTCATTGTTTAGTTTGTGGTGTAATGTGGTGGTGTTACCTGGGGGGTCATTCTTACAGTAGCTCCACATTTACTTCAATTTCCTGGCCTAGATAAGTCATCACTAATGGTATAATGCAGCATTACTTCAGCATGGTACATGGAAACATAAAATGATGAAAAATGCAGTTTGAACCAATTTAAATAACTTTCTTAAGACGAAATGAAACAATTGTGCTGATCTCTACAAACACATGTGACCATAACAAACTCCACCCTTGTCTTACTGCCAGACACAGTATCACAACTCTCCACTTGAAGCCTCGACTATAAATGGAGGCTGAGGTAGGGTAACTGAATCAAAGTTCAGCTAAAAGCTCATAACATGATGTCTCCAAGTCCACCAAGGGTGCAGAAGACAGATGTTCTAAACTGGTACTGGATGAATCAAAACAATCCCCCATTTTAGGGTATTCGGCTGATCAAATGAAATGTATTTCTGGCTACTATTAAGAGTCGAGAAGATTCAACATCATCATTGCAAAATAACTTCTTACAGTTGTAAGATCTAGCAGCTAACCAAGCAAAAAAAAAATGAACTGGAAGCTATGCTGAGCCATCAGATAAATAAACAAGCTACTGCCTAGACCACTAAACAACTAATAAATCTTCTGTTTATTATATATTATCCTGTTTTTGGTATATTCTACTTTTGTATATTATCTTCTCCTTTGTGTATCATCTCGTTGTTTGTACATATATTTAAAAAAATCCTCATATAATTACTGTATTTTAATACTCTTACAGTTTTTTCTTGTTATCACTACTGTCATATTTTACAATTATTATATTTATTATCATTAGTATTAGAAGTACAGCATAAGATAACTAACCTTCCTTATTGCTTGATTGAAGATCAGGCACAAGTATCGCTCCTGCCCTCTGAAGCTTGGGGTGTGCAGCTTATTGTAAAACACATTTTAATTTAAAAAAATGGTTGTAATCATAACCATAATTTTTAAAGAGATGGACTGATTAGCCAGTGGAAAGCCTTGGTCAGATGACCAAAAGCTCCAGCTGTGGGTCATCATATGACTAAGTCCTGCATCAGGAAACACTCGTCCTGTTTCCTGACGGACACTATACCTATCTTTAAAAGCTTGTCCATGGCTTAGGCCTCTCCAGCTTTGTCATTGTGGTTTTTATAATTACTGGGTGCCTGTAAGGATCTCTGAGAACTTTTAGTAAAAATTAATAATTAATAATTTTAATGTATTTTTAAAATGACGTTGCCTATTTTAACTCGGTATGGTGTGTGTATTTGTGTTGTGTATGCTATATTTTTTTTTTTACTGCTATGAGCACTGAATGACTTACTCAATGTACTTTTCAATTATCACAATTGTTATTACCTTGGTGAGAGATGGCCAGTGTGTTAAAAAAAATTCCATACTTACTATGCATACTGTATATACAAGACAATACAGATATTAACTCAGTCTTAAACCTCGTTTTGGGAGCTGCAACAGAATACATAAACTAAAGAATGCAATAAACAAATATCTCTTGCTCAGTAATAACCCACATGGAGACAGAGCTCAGAAGATTAATTGATCTGTTTTTTCGACTCCCTCCTGGATCCTCTTCAGCAGATACACAAGTGTTCGACTCAACCTAAGTAGACACTCCTTGTAAATAAAAAGCCCCCAAAAGATCCTAAAAGTCCTCTATTTGCTATCTGCTTTAAAAATATTATTAAAAACACCCTTAAATTTGATGTAAATTTATGTAGATCACACATCAGTGTCATGTATGGTGCAGCCTTCTTATTCAAGATCCCTGGCAGCATTTATACTTGTGCACTTATTGCCGTCTCTGTATTTCTACCCCTTAGTAATTTTTTTTTTGATTGACACATCGGCCGTTTTCCGCCAAGGTAAGTAGGGTGGCCCGAAAAAGAAAAACTTGCATCATCATCATTCACTCCATTGCTGTCTTGCCAGAGGCACACTCACACTACTGTTATAAAACTGCAACATTAACACCCCTCCTTCAGAGTGCAGGCACTGTACTTCCCACCTCCAGGACTCAAGTCCAGCCTACCGGACTTGAGTAATTATGATAGCTAAATTTGTCATTATATTTAGGAGACGCACTAAACCCATGAGGATCATACAATGCCTGGGGAATGGGAAGCAGTTAGGTTCAATCCACAGAAAGGGAGGATCAAGAACTCCTCATCAGCTTCAAGGAACCTCCCTTGAGGGAACATTTTGTTACTTTAAATAATCATTGCATATAATAATTTTTTTTTTTTTTTACAAACTGGCCATATCCCACTGAGGCAGGGTGGCCCAGAAAGAAAAACAAAAGTTTATCTTTCCAACTTTGGTAATGTATACAGGAGTAGGGGTTACTAGCCCCTTGCTCCTGGCATTTTAGTCGCCTCTTACGACACGCATGGGTTATGGAGGAAGTATTCTGTTCCACTTCCCCATGGAGATGCATTTAATAATCCTGTATTCATATAACTTTATTACTATAAAACTTAACATTCAAATACCCTAACTTCAAGTATACAGTATCAAGTACAGTAGTTTTAAGTTCTTGTTTCAGCCTGCCCAAAATGCTCTACATAACTAGGGGCTTTTCAAAATGTATACGATAAATTTCACCTAATTTTATAACGGTCACAAACAGTTTGAAAGCCATTTTTTTTTATTCTAATTGGCTGTAGTAATTGCATTGTGTTTGTCAACCCCATTATAGAAATTTACCAATTAGGTATTGTGAAAAATTTGTTTTTAGCTACAGGAGCAGAGCTAAGCTCATAGTGTCCTGTCTTCATTGTTTAAAGTCATGTAATATATTAAATACTCTAGTGGTTGCAGTATTTATTCTATCCTTTTCAATTTCATTCAAAAAATTTTCCACTCTGTGAAAAAAATCATTCTTTTGAAGCTCATGGAGCAGAGGCGAGCTTGTGTTATCCCATCTTCATTCAGTACTTAGTCTATCATAAAGTGTATGCTTGTGCATGCTTGCATGATTTGTAATAAAAGCTTTTATTTGATGACTCAGGGCTATTCTCCACTTGCTAAAGGCTTGGTCCTAAAGGAAACGACAGTGGAGAAAATAGCCAAACATCATTTGAAAACACCATCTCAGATCCTGATCCGCTGGAGTGTGCAGAGACACATTCCTGCTATCCCAAAATCGACTAAATTAGAACGAGTGATGGAAAACTCTCAGGTAGATTGCTTTTTCTTTTTTTTAAGGTGGGAAAGATGTTCCTGAAAAACTTAAGATTTCAGATGCAGGAGTAAAGAGGTACAGTATTTGGTAAGTCAGTAGATTAGGCATGTATCTCCAAGAATATTTTTTAACTATTTAATAGTTCTAGGAAATTACTTTTGTTACAAAAAAAATATTATTAATGTTCCTTCTTTGGCTCACCCTTTCTTAGTGGAAAATATCTGATGTTAAAAATTGGCTCATTAATAGGTAGGTTTCTCTGTGCTAACACACTGGCTGTTTCCTCACCAAGTTGGGTGACCCAAAGAAATAACCACATTCACTGTTACTCATTTTCTAACTGTCTTTCCAAAAGTGAACAGACATCACAATTTCAGTGACCTTACTGCAGTATCATCCACTGTCTGCAGGCATGTACTTCCCTTTTCCAGAACTCAAGTCCAGCTAGCAGATTCTTGGATCCCTTCATAGATTTTACCATGTTCATACCAACAGCACATGAAATTGACGAAGTATTTGTCTTAACTCACTCCAATTCCTCACACGTGCCTGCTAGATGCTCAAGCTCCAACCTCTCAAAACGTCCTTCCAACCCTTCCTTGGATGTCTTCTATGGTTCCTTCCTTCCACCTCATATTTTTACATTCATGCAGAATAAGCCGCATGGGGATGGAAATCTTTAGCTCTAGATCTTTCGCATTCGTGTGTCGTCAGGAGTTATGCAATGTTGAAAGACAACAACAGACAAAAGGGAAAAGTTTCTGAGACAAGGGGAAAAGGTATCAGTGGCAGCCCATGTTACAGACATAGGCTGCCGCTGATACCTTTTTTGAATTATCCTAGGTTCTCTACACATGTGCTGCTATGTATGATAATCCATGTAACTGTATTTGTGTATACCTGAATAAACTTACCTACTTACCTTCTGCCTTGCCTCAGAAAATTTCCCCTATTATCTGTAGCTGTTTTGCAACATTGCATAGCTTCTGATGATGCACGAGAGTGCAATAGATCTAGAGCTAAAGATTTCCATGCCCATATGGCTTGTTCTGCATTGTTAAGATCGTCTGTTTGCAATTGCATTTCATTATACTTCATATGTATTTTTCACATTAATCACTTCTGACCAAGACAATGTGACAAAAGAAGAAAAGATATTCACCATTGTTGAGTTTCTATCTGTCTTTCCAGAATGATGCAGACATAATAATGGCCTACCAGACTACAACCTCCCCACTGGACTAGAAATAATGTTCTCATATTAATTTAATATTTTTGACAGATTTTAAAGTGTGATTGCTAGTATCTATAACATATTTCTTTAAAATCCTGTCTGGTTGATAGATGTAAAAGAATCTTCTATTTTATATTATAGGGTTACTGTCCACTAGCCAATGGCCAAATTCTAAATGAACCAAAAATTCAAGAGATTGCTGGTATACATGGCAAATCTCCTGCCCAAGTTCTTATACGTTGGAATCTCCAGAAGAGAGTAGTATGCATCCCAAAATCCACCAAAGAACACAGGGTCAGAGAGAACTCAGAGGTAGAGGCAAAACATGGGCATGATAGCATTAAGTTGCCTGTAAATCATCATTATTAATAACTTGATCATTTTGACTGTATAGTACTCAGTATTGCAAGAATATGAGTGTGTTTTACTTTGCTTGTAGACCATTGTTTCTCCATACATTACCATGGCTGAGATTCTGGCATGATGCAGTATGCAAAAATTTATTAGTACAGTACACACAGTTTAACATTCAGAATCATGTGAAAATATATGTATGTAATCAATGCTCCATCAGTTATCTTAAACAATATAAAGTACTACTTAAATGATATTTTTCCATTGCTTATTGTATGTGAAGAGCATAGAGAAACTAATGAAAGTGAAACATTGATTTGCATTTCTTAAAAAAAAAAGAGCATTTACCATTAATGATTGAATTTAGTTTGATATCCTTTGCTGGTGAAGGGCTCTTGATGCAAAGAATTGACATTACCTTCCCTTTCCTTTGATCATATCTGATTGCTTTCCATTCCCCAAGGCACTGTGATTCCAAAGGCAGTACCTGTACATGATATTAGAAGTGTTGTGGTTAGAAATGGTTCATAATTGTGTGTTATTGTCACTCTCCCAAGTTCAGCTTGGGTGCAGAAGGTATTACCAGCTGTGTATTACCAGCAGTATAAAGACTGTAAACAAAGTTGCTCACTGTAACTTATTTTTTCAGAATAAAATTTTCTCTCGACATAAGGTATTTTTATATTGTGCTATCTGAGTTTGAGAAGACAACAACACATGAGTTTGGCTGGATGTTAAAAATCTGACATTACAGATTTGCAATGCTAAATATAAATTGAATTATTGAGACACAACTCTTTTGATGCAATTGTAAATGCTTGAATCTCTACTATTTTTTAATTACTGTACTGTATATTGCATACATATTTACCTGTTTGTCTTTAGCTTTGTCTGTTCATCTAACTAAATCTGTTTTCTACCAAATTTCCATATCTACTAAATCATTAACATAAGTATTATCCAGTATTTTTAATACAGTATACGGAAGTACCCAACTTACAAACATTTCAAATTACACACATCTACACTTACAAACTGTACATTTAGGAGCCAATCACATATTACAGCCACTGAGCCGCCATAATACAAACACATACTATGCACAATCACGTGTCAATTTAATGGGCCTCAGTTTAACAGACTTCAGCAGTGCAAAACAAAATCTGTGGTCTGTTGATTCAGAAACAATGGGCAAAGTCCATTGGTTAAAGAATTGTCCGTCATTGTAATGATCATGGTAGAACAATCTCATCTTTACCTACCGCAGTTACCAGTCTCTTATTATGCTATTAAATCGAGGGGTCATTTGTCTTCTATACACCACTTGTTTATAAATTGAAAAACTGAGAACACCACTTGTTTGTAAGATGAGAAACTGGGAATACCACTGGTTTGTAAGTTGAAAAACTGGGATACACCACTTGTTTGTTCGTTGAAGAACAGGGAACACCACTTGTTTGTTAGTTGAAGAACGTGGAACACCAATTGTTTGTTAGTTGAAGAACAGGGAACACCACTTGTTTATAAGTTGGATACCTCCTGTACACAGTAATGTATATTTTTTTTTTACCTAGGATCTCCTAGCTTGTTTTGCAGTCATCTCTTGTGAGAACTTTATTGTACTAACTTTTGCCCTTTGCAGATATTTGACTTTACTCTGTCTCAAAAAGATTTTGAGACTCTTGATTTATTACACTGTGACCTTCATGTATCATGGGACCCAAATTGTGTGACGTGATGTTTACTGTAACCACTGGGGGTCCTCTCACATGCTGCCTCTGAGGTACGTTCATTTGCGTGCCTGCCAGTAAGGAAAAGTACTGTATGTTGTATTTTTTTTTTCATGTTTCGTTGTCAGCTTTAGTGTAGGCTTAGGGAGCTTGCAGTAATAAAATAATGAATGCTCTTTTATTTGTGTGGTGGTGGATAATGAAGTGATATAGAGTACACTAATAAAAATATTAGGATTCCTGTTTTTATGTCAATGTTTTCATCTGAATTAATTTGAGAAGTCGAATATGGTATGCATATATCATACATATAGAATTGTATAATATACAGATTAAATAATTGTATATATAATTTATCATTTATCATGAAGTCAGTTTGTATGCTTTTATACTGTAATGTACTGTATGTGCAGAATTGCTGGTATGAGTTTTATTTGAAAACTCGTTATATTATAACCTACATAGTATGTAGTAAGATGAGTCAATGTTTCATTGTGGTGTCTGTCCTTTTTGAAGGTCAGCTAAAGAAGAATGATGTTAAATTTGTTTTTTCTTTAGGTAAACATACTTTGGTGAGGAAACAGCCAGTAAGTTAAAAAAAAATATGCAACATGTTTTGTAATATCCATTTATACTGAAATATAAAATGCATCGTCTACATTCATATGACTTTTTCTATGGTAAATATTAATGACTTCAATGAGCAAGTCTCAGTCGTAAAAAAAAATCCATTTAGATTGTCGACCCTTAGTCTGATTAATGGCTCACTACATACCGAGTCATATTGATACTCAGGTGTTGCAGGTAAATTATGCAATACCTAAGTATCTTCACTGAGGAAACATTTCACCTGCAGAGCAGACCTCTTCAGTGAAATACAGAAGTGATCACTTTAGTACAGTGGACCCCCGGTTAACGATATTTTTTCACTCCAGAAGTATGTTCAGGTGCCAGTACTGACCGAATTTGTTCCCATAAGAAATATTGTGAAGTAGATTAGTCCATTTCAGACCCCCAAACATACATGTACAAACGCACTTACATAAATACACTTACATAATTGGTTGCATTCGGAGGTAATCGTTATGCGGGGGTCCACTGTATTTGACTGATGATGCCGTCTGTGCAGACAAAGATGTTTCATTTATAAAGATGCCAAAATGTAGCACGTGCATCTTACTTATCAACTTGTGATTACTTGTGTATCCTCATTATGCTGATCGACTTTTGATTTTGTTGTGATTGGTTCGTCAGTCACTATTCAAGATGACATTTCTCAGTTTTTGCCTTGCCTCACTTCTATAAGTTCTTGGTATTCACATTGTGTTTTCTTTTTCTTTGGGTTTCCTTTCATTAGGTGGGACATGGCTGATATCTTAAAAATATACTACTTGTGAGTTACTTAATACAGAATTTCATGAATATTAAAAAAAAAAATATTCACTAGCATGTTTACTTACTTTACATCTTTAGGACAATAATGTAAAGAGAGAACATGCAAAAAACAAATAGTATTACTATATATACATTTTTTTTTTTTTTTTTTCAACAAGTCGGCCGTCTCCCACCGAGGCAGGGTGACCCAAAAAAGAAAGAAAATCCCCAAAAAGAAAATACTTTCATCATCATTCAACACTTTCACCACACTCACACATTATCACTGTTTTTGCAGAGGTGCTCAGAATACAACAGTTTAGAAGCATATACGTATAAAGATACACAATATATCCCTCCAAACTGCCAATATCCCGAACCCCTCCTTTAAAGTGCAGGCATTGTACTTCCCATTTCCAGGACTCAAGTCCGACTATGTGAAAATATACATACTTTATTTAAAACTGAAAATAAAAGAGAAATTACAATTGCATTACTAAATATATACACACACTCAAAGTATATTTACTGTATATTCAGTACAGTATACAGTATTATTTAAAAAAGTTGGAGGACTTAAAATAATAGCAATAAAGGAAATCTGGTTCAAAAAAATCCAGATCATACCATTATGTTGAAAGTTTAAATTTATTTTATAAAGAATATAATAAACTAATAATACAGTTTATAATTGGTTATTTAAACAATCTTTCCCATCCATTACATATGATTACTAAGATGTATTCACTAAATTAATTTGTGAGAATCAATCAAAGTTTATTCTCTATAAGGATTACAGTGCGGGGTTTACAGATTTTGGTTATTGTGTGGTTTACATGTAATAAAATACTAATTACAGAGGGGGCCACTAGAACACCTAGCAAGGCTAGGCATTTCGGGCAAACTTAGATTAATTCTTAACCCTAAATTATTACAAATTGTGGAGTAAGTTGACTAAATACTAAGTGACTAAATACTAGTTTGTGAGTTTAGCAATGTGAATGCTTTTGTTTTGACACAATACATAGTTTCTATATTGGAGCATCACAGGCAAACTTGTGACTAGTTAGGAATCATTATTTTAAGATTAAGATATGTATTTCTGTGCTTATAGCCAAATGGGTGAGTGAGTTAGTGAGTGCTAGTGGAACTTCTGTGATTATCCTACAAAATTCTTTAATGAATATAGATTCATTTTGGTTGTTGTAATAAGCAGGGTGCTACAGATGTGCACCTCAGTGTGTATAATCTACACGGAGAGCATATTTTGATTGTGTAGTGAACAGGTGATGTACAGTCTCAGTGATCCTTGTGCAGGCTGGCGTGTTAGAAAAAATTATTCATTAGTAATGAGTGTGAGTATACTTAGACCATAAAAACACACATAATTCTCTCCTCACTTTTTCCTTACCTCTGTTTTTATTGTTCTAATTGTTTGCCTTTGAGGTGATTGACTTGGTGTTCTTTATTTCTCCCAAATCCATCAACTTTTTATTGAATAAATGTCTTCTGATCAGTGTGATACATATTTCTAACTGATGAGTGAAAGTAATATTATTGTTTAATTTAGACTTTATTAAGTTAAAACAGGTTTGCTTACCTTGTCAAATAAAAATATATTTCCTTTGCTGAATTACCTAAAAAGAAAAACGAAAGTTTTTCCTTTTAGGTTACCCTATCTTGGTGGAAGATGAATTACCTAATGAGAAAAACTTTCATTTTTCTTTTTAGGTCACCCTGCCTTGGTGGGAGACTGCTGTTGCATTAAAAACCTTTTCTGAGAGCCTGCGTTACCTTTACTATGGGTTAAGAATCTCGTAATACTATATTGTTATTTGAAAAATGTTGATATGAGCATTTATTTTCTCTCAGGTTTATGATTTTGTCCTGACCAAAGAAGATATGGCAGTATTAGACAGTTTGCCACAAAAATTAACCATCATGAACCCAAGTGCTATTCAAGCTAAAATTGATAACCCCTTGCCTGATGGGTACAAACTCACCTTTGTCAAGACACCAGTGGAGCCATAAGATAAAATACATCATCATTATTATTGCGCCAACAGCCAGCAGCCACAACAAGTGCAGCAGCAGCAGCAGCACTAGTGTAGTTTACCATCAAATTAACTGTCACCACTATTGCTGCTCCATTTCTTGCTTCATGGGATGAAGAAACATTCACCAGGAAGTGAGGGAAATGTGGTACAATATTTAAAAAAGAAGGTAAAGATCAACTTTAGAGCTTGATTTGCAGTGACGAAATTGTTGCAACTTTTAGGGATCTAATATGAAAGAACATTATGTAATTATCTTCAGTATAAATTATTATTGTCTCTCTGTGCTTTTATGTCTTCTTCAAGAAACATCCATTTGGTGAGGGAGTGGGGGTAGCCTCTTGCAGACTCTTCAGATATTGTTGATTCTGCACCTTCAATTGTTGAAGATCTTTTTTAAGGAATAATGTACATGTACCTACAGTATGTACAAAAGCACAAAACATTTAATTTTTTCTTGGTGATTTGACATTTTTTCTGTGATTATGTTGTGGTGGGATTCTTACAGGGTACAGCACTAGCATAAGGTGGTGAAGGAGCATGCGCTGTCAATAAGTTAATGTTGTAGTGCCACACTCAAAATAGACATAATGGCTGTCTCACGGAGAAAGACACTGCATCACTCTGCAAGGATTGTCAGGTCACCGTAATGATCCGACATATTTTGATTGAGTGGCCCAGTCATCAGAGAATGTGCCAACTTCATTTCAGATGCCTTTTCCAACATCTTGATGTACTTATTGGCTTTCGTCTCTGACAGTTTCACATTTGATGCAAGTACTTTCTTTGTTTTCCTAATTGACATCAATTTGCCTCATCTGTATTATTATTATTACATTTAGGAGAAGGGGAAGCACTAAACCCATAGGAGTCATACTGTGCTAGAGGAAATAGGAGCCAGTCAGCTTTCATCCAGGGAAGAGAAAATCAGGTCCAATTTCTTAGATCAAGAACCCCTCACTGGCATCAAGTGATCTCCCTAGGATCATCATATGTAACCACTATCCTTACAACTGATATTATACAACATCTCTACCTCTTCTTTCCCTTTATCCCTTCTCCATCCACCATGCAGTGTAACCTTTATGGGTTTTTACTTTCCATGAATATACATGTAATAAGGCCAGAGTGATTTGAGTAGAGGAGCACTCACTCTCAGTGCTGTATCACTATCACCATCCCTGTCACTGTTATCAGTTCTCCATCATTTATGGGAAAGTTTTCATTTTGCTGTTGTTCCTGTAGTAGTGCATTTCTTTGGCAATTTTTTTTCACCCAATAATTAGTTACCATTAGTTTTGGCAGTTTAATGTTTGAAAACTCAAAACAATGTGTTCTTGGATCAGCTTAGAAATTAAGTCCATTAGTATTCTTGATATAAAATTTATATTATTATTTGTGCTGTTACTTATTTTATAAACCTTAGTAATTATATTAGTGTACAACGACACTACAATTTAATGGACTAATAGGGGAGAGGCTGTGTCTGTTTATGCTAATTATCCATTAAATTCAAAATAAATTTACTTAGTGAATGAACAATTCTGGATTTCAGATTTTGTCTGTTGCTTCCATATATCGTCTGTCCACTGATTGTGTCCTTTAAATCTGAATTATTACAATCTAAACTAAACCCAAAACCCACTAGATCATAACAAGTGCTGACTTAAGATGTAATCTACTAAATTAAATTTTTTTTATTTTTTTATTAATACGCCGATTCCTAAAGAGGTAAGCCAAGACCGTTTTTACCATCATTCAATCTACTGTTTATCATAAAGTGCTTACACTACTAGTAAACTGCAACATTAACAACCCTCTTCATGAGGAACTGTACTCCCTCCCTCAGCATGTATCTCAAGTCCTGCCTCAGGTTTTCCCTGTGTAATCCCTTCATAAATTTAATATTATACAATCTACACAACTCAAATAAAAACAATTTTGTACTCCATTCCTCCATGTTCGCTCATGCATGCTTTTTATTCAACCTTCGCCAAACTCCTTTACCACCCTCTCTAACCCTTCCAGGTGACCCTATCTCGTTCAGTCCACACATCTACACCTTTGAGTCATTCAGTTTACTCTCCATGTTTACATGTCTAACCACTCACAACCCTTCCGCAGGCGGCTGACAACAGTTTTGGTAATCCGAACAGCATCCAATTCCCTAACTACAAATCCCTTCACTAATACAACAACTTGCCCTTTGACGGCAAATGTTCAACTGAACAAATATTCCCGCTTTACTATTTATCAACCAGTTTATTGCAAACATGAAAATGATTGGTAAAATTAATATCCATACATTTCCCCTCTTTGACTCCAAGACAACTCTTAAAAGGGCTTAGACTACTAGTGCACCAGCACTTTTTCCCTCAAGATTGCATATTCCCCTCATCCTTGGATAACCCATCCGCTGACACGTCCACACAATATCTGAATACGTTCACCTCCTCCATATCTATACTAATCTGATATAATCTTTAATCACCTAAATCTTTTTTTATTGATTCACCTACGCTTTCCTGTATCACCTTTAATTTTTATACAGATTTTGCACACCCTACCAAATTCAATCCACCAACTCTGCAACTTCTCTTCAGAATCTCCCAAGAGCACAGTGTCATCAGCAAAGAGGCAGCTGTGACAACTCCCACTTTGTGTGGGGATTCTTTATCTTTTAACTCCACGCCTCTTTCCAAGACCCTCGCATTTACTTCTCTTACAACCCCATCTATAAATATATTAAACAACCACGGTGACATCACACATCCTTGTCTAAGGCCTACTTTTACTGGGAAAAAATTTCCCTCTTTCCTACATACTCTAACTTGAGCCTCACTATCCTCGTAAAAACTCTTCACTGCTTTCAGTAACCTACCTCCTACACCATACACTTGCAACATCTGCCACATTGCCCCCCTATCCACCCTGTCATACGCCTTTTCCAAATCCATAAATGCCACAAAGACCTCTTTAGCCTTATCTAAATACTGTTCACTTATATGTTTCACTGTAAACACCTGGTCCACACACCCCCTACCTTTCCTAAATTAGGGTCTGCTAAATCAAGATTTTTTCTGTAATGTGATTGTATGTAAAGCTGTGTCTAAAAATTAAGCAAGACCTGTTTTTAGTGATTATTTAATCTTAGTATTATATTATAAATGGCATACAATACCAGTAAGACACATATGCAATACTTACAAATCTTTATTGAGGAAACATATCACCTGCCCTGCAGGTGATATGTTTGATACATTTCCTCAGTAAAGATTTTTAGTGTTGCATGTGTATCTTACTTATCATTGTAATAATATACAATCTACACATATCAAAAAATGACAGATTTTAACAGAATCTCTGCATGTTCTCTCATGATACATTATTTTTTGTAGATTTGAATATTTCCTGGTGCTGCCTGGCCAACACTTTGCTAACCTTTGCAGGTGTTTATTTATATATGGTTCAAGTCACAGGTCATCTCAGCTTGAATGAGTCACAGTTCAGTTTACTCTTAATGGTTATTATTATTATTATGAGGGTGCTTGTGTGGGAGGGGGGTGAAGGCAGCATTCAGGGAACTGGAGAACAGATCCAATTCCCTAGTCCAAAAGCCCTTCACTAACATCAAGGAACTTCCCTTGAGGGGTCTTAATGGTTAAAGAAAGAAGGTTGGAATTCAGATTTGTATTATGAAGTACAGTTTATTGGAAAGATCAAGAAAATTGTGATTAGCCAAATTTAAATGATGAAATTTTAATTATTTAATGAAGTAAACTCTTCAAGAAAGGGGCTTTGACACTAGTGAAGAGCTTTTGATCCAAGGAGCTGCAATTCCCCTTCACTTCCTTGGATCAAACCTGACTGTGGCTCACTCCCAAGTTACTATATGGCCCTTACAGTTTTAGCTCTTTCAAATGAATTATAATAATACAGTATAATTATAAGGCCCAAAATATAATTTTTTTTATTGTAGTTGCCAGGTGAGTGATGTAGTCAGTTTACAGTTACAGAATTTATACAGATTTATGGAAAAGCATTAGACAAATACATAGTAACACACACACACACACCATGTATTAGTTTAAGGTTACAGTTATCCTTCCAAATTTGAAGGAAGTTACCTTCCTAGAGGACCTGTGAAGTAGGAAACTGACTAACACAAATTTTGTTTCAGATTTCTTTAATGTAGTACTCTAATCTGCTTGATATTGACATTCAAGAGAAATAATGCTGGGTAATTTAATGTTGGGGATTATATATATATTCGCTGGTTGCCTATCAAATAAAAAAAAATGTTGGGTGCTATAATTGAAACCTCTAAGGAAGACATCCACAAATTTTATGGGACAACTGTATATAATTAATAACAGTTGGTGACTAAAGTAACATGCTAACAAGTGGGAATAAAGACATGTAATGAAGAGCAAGCCTTTATTTTACCAACATTTTAATGAGTTTTATCAAATCTCTTAATAATAAGAATTATTATAATCAAACCTAAGTGCTCAACCCACTAGGGTTATACAGCACTGCTTAAAATTGAGAAAAGTTTTCTAAAATAAGGAATCATTTTGCATATGTCTTTATACCCATTTATAAAAATGAATTAACATAAATATTATTGACTTTATGAAAATTATTTAATTTTCAAGACTCGTGAAATCATAACACAATTGCAAACAAACCCGTGAACGGGTAGGGTTGGAACCCATGGTGAGCAAGTCTTAAAACTTTTAGGGCTCACTACATCCATTTCATGCTTTAATTTTCAAACTTATTTGATCACTTCAGCTTAACTCTAAGTAATCAAATTAAGTTTTCAAGGGGTAGAAGAGTAAGCCAGTGGAAGGCCTCGGTCAGATGACCAAAACTCCAGTGGCGGGTCATCACATGACGCAGACCTGCATCAGGAAACACTGGTCCTGTTTCCTGATGAACCGTACCTAACCTAACTCTAAAGAAAATAACTGTTATCACAATCTGTTAGCAACCAAACTAGTGTAGCACCAAAGGTTAGCGTACTAGTAAACTCACTGGTGATGTGTTATCATCACCAGTGTGTAGTCTTGGGATATCCTCAGAACATTACACACTACTGCTAATACTCAGTAGGATTAAAGTACATATAAAAAAAAGATCAGGCTTAATAATTTATACATTATTTATTAGTATTAAGGAACCACTATAAAAGGAAAATGAATCGTGAGTAAAGCATTTTCATTATTACTGCTAAATCTATAGGGGTCATACAGCACCTTGGGAAAGCAAGACAATCGGGTTTGCTCCAAGGGAGGATAGGTTCAATTCCTTGGATCAAAAGCCCTTCATTGGCATCAAAGCACATTACCTGAGGGGATGGTTAAGTAACAGATTAGAGCTAATTCAAGTGTGTAAATTATGTTAAGGATGATGTAATATAAAATACTTAAGAGTAAGTTGAAGGCATTTGTGGTATGTATATAAAGAAAATACTATACAATACCAACAGTACTGTGTATTTCAATAATTCACTATACCATGAACTTACTGGATACATTCAATCAACACTTATTGTGACAAAGAATTATCTAGCTATTACAAAGCTGACACTCAAAATACATTGGCTTAGCACAACCCCCACTCAAAAAATTTACAGGTACAAACCCTAAAAATCAAGTCCCTCAATACTGAATTATTTAAAAAAAAATCCAATTGAAAGTGAATAAAATTAAATCAAGAAAAAATCTCCAAAATCAGGAGATCAGATTCTAAGTGAACTGTGATTTCTTCATTGTTTTCATCTTTCTCTGCTGCTACTACCTAGTAATACTGTAATACTAAAGAATCCCAGTGAATAATATTGTGAAGAATGTAGAGTTCTTGTATCATTTTTTTTTTTTTTTGGTAACGGGTTGTAATGACTCAAAAAAATCATCTCTCTTCACTAGCATCAAGGCAGCTTGATGTGAAGGACTCTTGAGCCAGGGAATTGTAACTACTTTCTCTCTCTTTGGATCAGATCTGTTTACTGTACTCTGCATTCTTCAGGTGTTGTATGAGCATTATGGGTTTAGTTTTTTCCTGACACAATAATAACTGAAGTAATAAGAATCTTAATCCTTAAGTTCCAGACCTGCTAGCATTTATTTGTTTTTGACATGCTGGCCATCTCCCACCGAGGCAGGGTGGCCCAAAATAAGAAGGAAACACTTTCACCATCATTCACACAATCACTCTTTGTAGAGGCATGCAGATATGGCAGTTCAGATGTCATTCCAAACAGCAAATATCCCAAACCCCTCCTTTAACGTGCAGCAATGTACTTCCCACCTCCAAGACTCAAGTTCAGCTAACTGGTTTCCCTGCATCCCTTCACAAAATATTACCCTGTTCATATTCCAAGTCTCAAAAACAATTTGTTTCCATTCACTTCTATCTAACACGCACACATGCCCAGCATTCATAAGTAAAATAATTTAAAACATATCAAATATTTTTGTTTCTATTCTACAGTATAGATATTTTTATTTTCAACATGCTGGCCATCACCTACCGAGGCAGGGTGACCCAAAAAAGAAAGAAATACTTTCACCATCATTCACACATAATATATGCTTCTAAGCTGTTGTGTTCTGAGCACCTCTGCAAAAACAGTGATTATGTGTGAGTGAGTTGAAAGAGTTGAATGATGATTAAAGTATTTTCTTTTTGGGGATTTTCTTTCTTTTTGGGTCACCCTGCCTCAGTGGGAGATGGCCGACTTGTTTAAAAAAAAAATAAATAAATAATTATTTCTCTCGGGCATACGAAGAATGCAGTAGGTATACATGAATTAGTACAAAACTAGGCACAAAAGAAAGCCACTAATTATGCAATGCATTATTCATTCTTGGAATTCTGTGCACTTACGTTCACGACGTGTTGGGCTACATGCAAAGGGAAAAAGTGATAGGGAAGAGAGAAAAATTAGGAATGGCTAATGTTAACCTCTACTTTTATTAAAATGTAACTAAAAGCACAAGGCAGATCAATTACATTATACAAATAACCTAACTTGGACCGTTAACTAGACACACAGAAGTGCAAAGGGGAGGGAGCCAGAATATACGTATATGGGAGGAGGCAGGGGACAGGAGTGATAGAACAGAAGGGAATAGTAGTATTCTGTGTGATTAATTAACGCTCCATGTCGAACCAAAACACTGTCAAAAGTTTGTCTCCTGTGTACGGGTTATTTGTGTATTATTCCAGTCACAGTATTGTGCCTTTTTTAAATTTTTGCAGATTAGATGTTGGGATGAGGTGCATAACATTCAAGAAACCATGAGATTCCAACTGCTGGAACTCTGAAACCATTATCAGAAAAATGCCACCCAACATGTGCTAACTGCAACAATAAATTTGTTGCTATCACATAGGTACTCAGAGAACTAGGCTTGTGACAGAACACCCGATTTCAGTCATGCAAAGCCAATAAATCCCGCTCACTGTAGGTTTGAAGGGTGGCAGATTTAAAGAGTTGTACCTGCATTAAAGCACTTTTTTACATATAGTACAGTATGTGAATAATAATAATATACAACATCTAGCATACTGTCTCATTATTCACAGATGTGTAATTTTTTCACCTTATCACAATCTAGATTACAGTACTGAAATATATATACAGTGCTGTATATATTGACATCTTGCATATTTAATAAAAAATCTACATATGAGAAGCTATAAAGCATGAGGGAAATCTTACAATGTAAACAGTGTAAGGAGAATATTCATCAGTATCAAGCCCTTTCCACACTGAACACAATGCTAAGGCTTCTCATATAATAAATAATTTTTGCACATGTAAACCTGAAAGATGGAAACTTACATCTTGAGAGATGCAAACTTACATCTTGGCAGGTGTAAAACCTACTGTACACTAGGGGCCTCTGCCAAAATTGTGTTATAGCTATGTTAAGCACTTCTGATACTTTTTATATACCTATATTTAAAATATACAATTAAAATACTTCCATAAAGAGTCAAGCTGAAAAACAGTAGGCAATAATAGCACCATATAGTCCTGGTTGAACTACTTACAAAACATTTCTTTAATTATAAATTTTGATGCTCACAACAATTTATTATAAACTACTTAAACAATTTATGTAACTGTTGGGTAGTAGTCACAAAATACTGTACTTATGAAAGTCAATTGTCTGCCTTTAGTAAATGATCTAAGTACAGTATTTGAAAAGGGCAATAAGTTATTATTCTGAGATCAAAAGATTAGAAAAAATTATGGTGTTATATTTCTATAGAAATTACTAGAACATACATCATTTAAAGTATATGTATCCCTATCAGTATGTAATACTATATGAAACACATAACAATTCACAAAAAATACACCTAAATAAGGAAGATATACCTTGCTATCACTCTCTTGGTTTGCATTAGTGACTACACACTCATGAAGACTTTCTTTGAATCATGAACCTCAGAGGGTTACAAACAGGATAACCGAAGGAAGCCAAGTAGTGTGGCTTACTTCTGCCAGGGTTCTTAGGTCTTAACCTAGAATGCAACCCACAATAACCAACTAGCTCCTAGGTATTCATTTACTACTAGGTGAACAAGGGTGGCAGGTGTTAGAAATCTTGCCTGTATGTCTCGCCCAGAATTCAATTCTGGAATCTTTTGGTTGTGGGCTGAAGGCTTTATTACTGAGTTCTGAAAACACACTTTTCCATTCCCTGCACGGACACTAGCTAACTTGTCTGTGCTGGGGACAAAATCCATTTAAAAGGAAATAATATGTATAAATAATTACTGATAACTGATGCTGCAGAAATTGAATACATATACAAAAATAGATATGAATTGGTATCTACAGTATTTTAAATTTTACAATAGCCAAAATTTCTGTAACATACCTGTGCAATCCTATCTAGATTGTTTGCAGTTCAGTGTGTAAATATGACTGGCTGTTGTTTTCAGACGTTGTATGCTATACAATGATTATAAGCATAACCATAATTTTTAAAGGAGGTGGAGGGGTAAGCCAGTGGAAGGCCTCGGTCAGATGATCAAAAGCTCCAGCTGTGGGTCATCATATGACTAAAACCTGCATCAAGAAATGCTTGTCCTGTTTCCTTACAAACCTCACCTAACCTAACCTTCAGATTGTACATGTGATGTTCCACACCTGAGGATGAGTGAGGTACATAGGCTCAAGATTAATAGTAATGTTAAAAATAACTTCAGTCACATGCATCTACATAAATTATTATTATTATTAAGATTTTTGGAAAAGCACTAAGCCTATAGGCTAAGTTTGATACAAGGAAATGAAGGGTATCCCCCATTCCCTGCATCAAGAACCCTTCACTATGTCCCTTGAACTGTCACTTGTATAAAATATGACAAATTAGTTTAATGCCAGTGAGGGGCGCTTGATACAAGTAACTGGACTTGGCCTCCTCTTCCTCGGATGAAACCTACATGATTGCTATGGCTTTAGCACTTCCCTGATTAAAAAAAACGATAATGTACTTTTACCGTGCAGTGAACTTGTGACTTTATATCTCTGCACTATACTCTTCTTTAATTCTAGCTTTAACTTTAATACAGTAAACCCTCTATTTAACGGACTAATAGGGGTCATTGGGTGGCCAGTAATGGTAACTAGTGGATGGAGAAAAGATTATTTTGACATGGTTGTAGCAAAAATGAACAATTGTGTGACTAAGAAACTTTGTCCATCATTTCCAAACCTGACCCAGCAGATTTTGTTCCATATTTCTAAAGTCCATTACATGGGTGGGTTTACTGTATTTCAAAGTTTATTTGATTGGATACTGCCAGTAGTAATTCATATACGAGTATTATTCATGAAAGAATATACCAGTAATTCATTTAATAATGTCAACTTTTATAAAGTTTACTTTCTTTTCTACCCATCTATATCACAGGAAGCATCAGTCAATCAATGTGATAGTTTGTGGATCTAATCCTTAGATAAACTTTACACACTTCTCAACACTTGTTTCCCTCCCCATAGCATTATAAAGATACTAAACTTCTTATCTAGTGTTTCAAAATCTTAAAAATCTAAAATGTGGCTACAATCAAAGCAGACATTATGGGTATTAAATACTCACATTAAAATATCAAGGCATGCTGACAGCATCATCGACGACCTTAATAATCTATTAGCCGCTGTATAATCCTACGGGTTTAGTGCTTCCCTTTGATTATAATAATTATTAGACAAGACTGGAGAAGAATTTAGACACTATAAGGATCAGACCATATACCACTTGTCTAACTAATGTCAGACTTTTAGTATATTATTACATTCATGATAGGAGAGCTATACCTGCAGGGGACTTACAGTGCCTTGTGAGAGAATGGGAGGCAATTAGGTTCAATCCAAGGAAAGGAAGGCAAGGTCCAAGTTCTCAGATCAAGATCTCCTCATTGGTATTGAGGAACTTCCCTTAACAGAAGAGTGGTATAATTTAGTGGAGTCCAAAAATAAAACCGAGTGATTAGAATATCAGTATACATGAGTCACTCATTGTAAGAAGCATAGTATCAGTGCATAAGTCAACAGAATGTAAAACAGCATAGCCAGAGACAGGAAAACAGTGTGCTAAAGTTTGGTTTACTGGAGACAAATGCATGCCAAGTATAATTTAAAAAGTGCTGCCTCAGTGGAATGACAGCTGAAGAATTATTATTATTATTATCACACTGGCCGATTCCCACCAAGGCAGGGTGGCCCGAAAAAGAAAAACTTTCACCATCATTCACTCCATCACTGTCTTGCCAGAAGGGTGTTTTACACTACAGTTTTTAAACTGCAACATTAACACCCCTCCTTCAGAGTGCAGACACTGTACTTCCCATCTCCAGGACTCAAGTCCGGAGAATTAGTAGTGATGAATACATATTTCTTTCTTTGGGTCAGCCTGCCTTGGTGGAAACAGCTGAGGTGTTTAAATTAATAGATACTGAGGTAAACAGGCTTTTTCCAGTCACTCCTAGACCCTTTTGACAGTGTATTGCTTGACACACATTAAAACAAAATAGAAAATCTGCATTCTTAAGAAATAAAGCACTTGAGCAAGACCAAGGAAGGTAGAAAGAGGCAACAAAGCACACTTTGCAACATTAGTACAGGAGAAAGGAAAGGAAGAAGCTGACATGGAAGAAGATTGTGAGTAGACAGCAGCAATGGAAGCAGCAACAACAACCTGTAGGGAGTCTCATATACAAAGACTAACTTGTATTATACAATATATCTCTAGTCTTTGAAAAATAATCTGGCAAACTGATTATTGAAAGTCAATGTGATGGTTAACATTACAAATACAGGATGGGGTCCATCAGCTAATTATACTGGATTTGATAATATGGAAATAGAAAACAGCTGTCACATGTCTAAATACCGTACTTTCATTATAACAACTCCCACTATCCAGCACTGTAATATTGTATGTTGAGAAATTTACAACCCTTTTTCTTGTGACACAACCTTTCATATAGAGCCTCTCCTCACTTAACAATGGAGTTCCGTTCCTAAGACCACATTGTTAAACGAATTCGTCACTAAGTGAGGAGCATACTATAATGGTAGTGGGTTTGTGTCAACCATCTTTGATATTGTTTTAATATCACCTTTGCACCAATTATAACATTTCTGGTATATTTTTAAATGTTTATACAGTAGTGTACTGTATACTGAAATAAACAGAATAGAGGAAATCAGCTCTAATATACATTATTTAGGTATAAATACTGGTCAGAGAGCCCGTCGTAAGTTTGAGGCATCGGTAAATGAGTACGTCGCTAAGTGAGAAGAGGCTGTACTTATTCCTCGGGTGTATCTTTCTACAGTTCTCTCTTCTTTGCCTCATTCATGTACAGTATTTTTAACACATCAGCTGTTTTTTCACCAAGACAGACTGACGTAAAGGACATTACATTCGTGTTTGAACACCAATATTAAATGGTCATGTTATCTTGAAGTAAAATGAATAAATTTCATGTTAATCTTACTGAACACCCTCATATAATAAGGTATAGGAGAAGGCAGTCAGGATACACATGGGGTCCCCCACCTTACTAATGCCCAAGTTGCAATAATCCACACTTGCAAACAAGGCTTAGAAAACACAATACATATGAACTGAGAAAATAAATGTTAAGTGAATGCTGACCTACAGCTGCAAACATGACACAGTTATCCTTCGCACTATTATTTCATAAGATAATAAGTCAAGGGTACAAACAACTTGCTCGATAGTTGAAACATCTGGAACACAGCTCATAAGTTGGGACCTAATGAAATGTATTTTAGACACTGTCACTCTACAACTCACTACAGGAACTACTACTCATTTTACATTGTGGGTGCAGTAGGCATATCTTAATGATTTACTCCTTATTCTTGGAACACTGCAAGAGCCAGCATTTTTTTAATTTTTTTTAAAGTACCAGCTGTCTCCCACTGAGGTAGGGTGATCTTAAACAATAAGTTTTCACTATTACTCATTCAATATCTCTCTTGCTAGAATTGTGTAGACATTACAATTCAAATGACTCTGAATTTCAGTATCCCTACTACTCCTCCAGAGTATGCACTGTACTTCCCACCTCCAGGACTCAAGTCCAGCTAACCAATTTTCCTGAATTCCTTCATAAATGTTACCCTGTTCACACTATCAGTATGTCAACCCATTAAAAGCCATTTTTCTCTACTTACTTTAATCTAACATGCTTATACAAGCCTGCTGGATGCTCACGCTCTTAGCTCTCAAAACTCTACCCCTTCCCTACAAACTTTTCTGGGATGATACCCTACCCCTTCCTTCCACCTCAGATTTGTACACCCTCTTTGTCATCCTATCCCACTTCATTCACAACCCCTCCTTAGCCCTATGGCTTAAACCCTTAGAAATCCCACACCATTTTCTTATCTCTATGCTTTGAATTCTCTTCATAATATTTACACCATGCATTACTCTAAAAAACGATGACTCAAATGATGTTTCAGTTGCCTTAAACCTCTGCTTTGCTGCAATGTTGAAAACCCATGTGTTGGTACCACTATACTTTGCTACATTACCCTCTTTTTCTTCATCAAGAAACTTGTACTTATGCAAAGGTGCCTCAATACACCACCTACCTTTCTCCCCTCATTAGTGAACCATCTGCTGACATATCCATTCCTAAATACCTGAATACTATACATATATGTACATCTACTTCTGCCAGGGCCAGCCTTAAGCCAATTGGACTGATTGCTCCCAATTGGGCCCAGTGCCTAAAGAGGCTCCGCGCTAGAGTGCAATCTACTCTCGGCTTGTCAAGCACACACAACATGAAGTTAAAAATAAGGGGCATCTGGAGAAAGGAATTTTTCCAAGCTGAAACTGATCAAAACTTACTCGAGATCATCAATTCAGCAAGAATGTTTGAACAGTTTGGCGATTATATCCAATGAATCTGAAATTAGCAAGAGAATAGACCGACAAAATTCTAAAAGACTTTGCAGAGAAAAAAGCAAGAAAGATAACTTTCTCCTAATAAAAGGCAAAAGTAATATAACTCATTTACAGTTTATAAATGTTAAGTGATTTTTTAGAAGTCCAAAAAAGATAGTAATTTGTTTCCAACAGTGCACTTAAGTTCTGATTTTTTTTTCTGAACAAAAATAAATTAATATTTTTAATAAATCATTTCAGTCACTAAAGCAAGTGGTATTGTGACTATGTACTGTTCAGAAGTGATATACAAGTTTTGTTTGTTAATTGTAGGCTCACATGTATGCAGTTTTATAGTAAAATGTAGCTTACATCTGCTTGGTCTATTAACTGGCATGCATTTTTTAAGTGCAAAGTTTGCTTTCCATACTTGGGGGCCACCAATATTGTTCCCAATTAGGCCCCACACCTTCTAAGGCCGACTCTGACTTCTGCCATACTCTCTCCCTCCAATCTTTCATATTCCTAAACTTTGTTATTCTCCTCACCTTGATCTTTTCTATGTTCACTATCGTAATTATTTATATAACTTTCTTCTCATTAACAAGACAGACTTTTTATTTGTTACCAGAATTTACATTAACTTTTGGCTAAGAAAACTGAGCAAGAAATTATTTACTAGGCAATCTTAAGATAACTGACCCTGTGGTCATCTACATGTAGTTGTTGAGGCTGGGTCTCAGCTCCTGGCCCCTGTGGTCAAGTACAAAGATTATGCTTTCACAGCTTGAAATGACCCATATACATTTGTGAATGTAACAAATTTTTATTTGCAAAATCAACTGACAGGAATTGTCTGAAATATATATATTCAATTAAAGGCCACTAAAAATATAATTAGATATAAACAACAATAATAAATAATTTAAAATTCATAATTATATACATGAATCTACAATATTGTTAACTGTTCCGTTTTCCATCTGCATAAGGCAAAGATTTACGTATGCAGTAGTTCAAGAAATGCTCTCTATGCTCATGTTTTTATACAGTGTCAGTATCAGTGATTCAGTATGTCAGTGGATTCCTCAGCTTTTAGTTATTATGATAAGTAAGATTATCAAAAAATCTGTTCATGAAGGTCCTGTTAACAGAATGACTACATACATATACCATTTGCTACCATTTCATTAATTTTTCAGTCACTGGTAAACATGACCATGTCCTGACCAAGTAGCCAGCATATTTATTAAGCATCATACAGTTTACCTTTTGTCAATACGTACTGTACATATCTTAACTTGAATTTGGTAAATCACTTTTGCTGAATAACACTGTTGCATTCAGTCAGCAGCTCTGGTGCCCAACACTTTACGGGCAGTTCTCAAACTGCCTGTATTTGATTGTAATAGCCACCAAATAACAATAAAGAACAGTAATGTTAAAATAATTTTTTAAAACATAAGCACTTAAAGATCACGACAAAGTGGAAACAACATCTTCAAGTAGCTGAGATGGGTGATCTTCCATGTCGATGAAACTCTTGATGGTTTCCAAGCGTTCATCGTCCAACAGCTTCTCTAAGCACCATTTTATTTTATTTAAATCATATATTGTATGATTTTTTCCAATTTCCCAGTATCCGAAACTGAGTAGGGTTCCTTTTCCTTACAAGAGAGAAAAAATCAAATTATTAGAAAAAAGCACTTGGCAAGGTTTGACTTACATGTGGCCTAATATATCAGCCCAAGTACTGTAGCTCAGAACACAAAGTTTTTATTTTCAGCCTGTTTTTTTTTTCCTCACACTCTGCTATGGCAATACATTCATTCCCCTACTTTCAATGACAGTACAGTATATCTTTAATTAACCCAAATGCTCTCTACTGTTTTTATTTTGCCAGAGATACTTTCATTCAATCTCTAAATTATTATATTTACGAAAGAGTACTAAACGTGTGTGGGTCTTCAGTAACTTAAACATTCTAATGCTTTTTTTTCCCTTGTTTAGTTTTTACAAATATTAATATTAATTCCTTTCTGCCTTCCCTCAAGTTCGGCACCAACCAGGCTGTTATCTCTGCTGGATGTACAGAGCCAAATGTGGTTTAATGTTTTTCACAGCATCATTAAGTGATGCTACAAGGAAAGAAAATGGAAAAAAAATATGCTTGAAAGCAGTCAACAAGTAAAGCCAATCATTTTTTTTTGTATAATTTTAAATACTCATGACAACATTTCATACCTGTCAGGTAGCTGATCCTTCGCCGTGCAACAGTGCGAAGGAAGGTGTAGAATTCTTGGTAGTCCATTCCATGTGTGGCACGCAATAACAGCTGACACTGTCCAACCCAATCATCCATTTCATTACAATCCTGGATAGCGTATTCAACCTGAAGATTAGCAGAATTTAGTATGTATAGTATTTTGGGAAAGGTAATTCTCTAACCACTTACTGTACCTACAAATATACAATAATGTAATTTTTCTTTACCCAGCTAAGTAGATCATGCACCTTCTCCTTGCCATTGTTTCTTGCACCTGAAGATTGCACAGAGAGTACTTGAACTCCAACCTTGCCTGGGTACAGCATTCCTATCTGTGATAGGAGTTTAGAGCACTAGTGAGCTATGGTAACACTTTTTTTTAACACACCGGCCATTTCCCACCGAGGCAAGGTGACCCAAAAAGAAAGAAAAAACTTTCATCGTCGTTCAACACTTTCAACATCATTCATACAGAGGCGCTTAGGTACGAAAGTTTAGATGTCCCTCCAAACAGCCAATATCCCAAACCCCTCCTTTAAAGTGAAGGCATTGTTGTTCCCACCTCCAGGACTCGAGTCCAGCTAACTGGATAATAATAATAATAATATGGGAATAAAAGTTAAGAATAACTTCCTTCCTGCACCTGTCTGTACAGCTTATTTTAACTATGCTAGCTATCTCTCACCAAGGTAAGATGGTGGATCTAAGGAACTAGACCTGTGCTCCCCTTCCTTGGATCAAACCTGAATTCCTCCCATTACCCCAGGTGCTTAAAAATTATGTGAATGTTAAATTTAACATAACTAAGTTGTCTGAAGATAAGATTATGTATTCCAAACAACAATGATGCTATGAAGTTAGTAACACAAAATAAAAGTGGCAAATTAGTGACCACTGTCAGCTTATCTATCATACCTGGTTCAGGGACTCCACCAAAAAGTCCCAGGCTAAATGGATGTTAGTACCATTCAGCCAGTTGTGGTTTATAGAGATGGTGTCTTCCTGGAAATTAATTTTTGATTAGCCAAAATCAAACATTTAAAGAAAATACATCAGTTTCTTTCTATCTAATGATATTGATGAAAAGATCCTGAAGATGTTCTGGCACTGTTTTACTGCCTCCCATTTTACGTTAGTTTTTTATGAATAACATACTAATTTACTGGGTTTGGTTTTTGTGAGTATAATAACAGTACAGTAGTATTAAAATTGCCCCATAGCTTAATTCGCCTGCTTAAACTATAATTTTATTTTGATGATTAAGACACATGTGCAACAGTTGGGTATCTTTATTGTTGAAATGTTCTGCCAACACAGTAGACTTCTTCAGTCAAACAGGGGGAGATGTAGTAGTGAAATGAAGATGAGGAAATCAGTCCATCAACCTTGGAGTAATAGTAACTGAAGTGGTCAGTCCCTCAGCCTGGAGAGGGACTGACCACCTCAAATACTTTTTCTCCAAGCTTGATGGGCTGATTACATCATCTTTATTTCACTACTACACTGTCTTAATCAACTTGTCAGTATTTCATACCATTTTTAACATAATTTTACAATGGTACCTCAAGTTTCAAACAGCTCCCAACTCGAACATTTATGTAAGTGTACAGTGGACCCTCGACCAGCGATATTAATCCATTCCTGAGAGCTCATCGTTAATCAAAATTATCGTTAGTCAAGTTAATTTTCCCCATAAGAAATAATGGAAATCAAATTAATCCGTGCAAGACACCCAAAAGTATTGAAAAAAAAAATTTTTACCACATGAAATATTAATTTTAATACACACAAACTGAAGAAGACATGCACAGTTACATGACACTTACCTTTATAGAAGATCTGGTGATGATTGATGGGATGGGAGGAGGGGAGAGTGTTGATGGTGTTAGTGTTTAGAAGGGGGAATCCCCTTCCATTAGGACTTGAGGTGGCAAGTCCTTTTTTGGGGTTACTTCCCTTCTTCTTTTAATGCCACTAGGACCAGCTTGAGAGTCACTGGACCTCTGTCTCACAACATATCTGTCCATAGAGGCCTGTACCTCCCATTTCTTTATGACATTCCTAACGTGTTTCATGACATTGTCAGTGTCACAATTCAACATTTGTTCAGGTTTCAATTCTTCACTGTCTATGTACTCCTTGAATTCCTGCACATATTTTTCAGCTGCTTTTTGGTCCAAACTGGCAGCCTCACCATGCCTTATCACTATGTATGCCACTACGATTCTTAAATCTCTCAAACCAACCTTTGCTGGCCTAAATTCACTCACATCACCACTAGTTGCTGGCATTTTTCTAATTAAATCCTCATGCAACTTCCTAGCCTTTTCACATATGATCACTTGAGAGATGCTACCTCCTGCTATCTGTTTTTCGTTTATCCACACCAATAACAGTCTCTCAACATCTGCTATCACTTGCGATCTCAGTTTCGAAAACATAGTTGTACCTTTGGCAAGAACAGCTTCCTTGATTGCCGTTTTCTTGGTCACAATAGTAGCGATGGTCGATTGGGGTTTTGTGTACAACCTGGCCAGCTCGGAGACACACACTCCACTTTCATACTTAGCAATGATCTCTTTCTTCATATCCATAGTAATTCTCACTCTTTTTGCTGTAGGGTTGGCACTAGAAGCTTTCTTGGGGCCCATGGTGACTTATTTTGCAGGTGCAATCACTAAAAAGGCTGTGATAATATGAAATGTTCCGATTGTATGCTTGGAAGCGACCACGGTGGCTGGCTGGCTTGTAAACACTGGCCAGAAGTGGACGCGTCTTAGACGGAACGAATAGTTTTGGTCAAGTTTTTTAGCGCTAGTCGAGGCAAAATTTTTGCGTTAAAATGTATCGCTGGTCGGATTTATCGTTAATCGATGCCATCGTTGGTTGAGGGTCCACTGTATTTTTATAAGTGGTTTTTAAGTGTATTTTTGGGGGTCTGAAAAGGAGTAATCTAATTCACATTATTCCTTATGGGAACAAATTCATTTGGTACTGGCACTTGAACAGCCTTCTGGAATGAATTAAGTTCGTAACTCGAGGTACCACTGTATTTTAATATATTTTATGTCATGATACTAAGAATAGCAAACATTTTACTCGAAGAGCCATAGAGAATAATACATGCTGTACTCTATTCTTTGTTAAATATACCTAACAGTTACAAATCAGTTTCTACCATTTAAAATTCATTATCCATGACATAATAACATAAAAATCAATTAAACCACTGAAAATCATGATTAATGAGATATAATTTTATAGCATACAGTACAAAAAGATAATTAAGTCACAGTACTAAACATTTTTTTTTACTTTAAATTATAATCTTAAAAGAAGAAAACTCAAAACAAAGAAGAGATGTTCTTACAAGATTCCAGACTTGATGGTGCCATCCTGAAGGAACAAATATAGTTTCCCCTTCCTCCTGGATCACCTCCAGACGGCCTACTACTGAACAAGCTTTTGGGTATTTTGAGGAGTCACTAAGGAGGAAACAATATAACTGCAGTATGGGTTCCCTCTGTTTCCCATCTTCAATATTGTACTACTAAACAGTATAACAGTAGTTTTATTTTTTGCTGATTGCAATATTTATCTATCAGCATTGCATTTAAGCACTTGGAAATTAGCATAGATTTAGTACACCATGACCAAGTTGAAGCATCTTTGTTGAAAACTGGGCAACCTGAAGATTTGCCCTTATTTGCCTTTAGCAAAATGGTAAAATATAGTTATGCAAATTTTAAGAGGATTTTTTTTTTATTTTGCACCAAAATTGACCTAACAGGGTACATACAAGATACTTTATTTACTTAAGACATCAAAGAATCATACTTTAGTTCTGCAGAGTCTACATCATATATGGGTGTGCCAAAGGGGTCTCTCAAGTACTGGTCTTCCCCTGGTGGGTAAAACACCCATCTTTTGCGTCCACAAACATTAGCTGACCAGCTATATGATCGGAAAACATCTGCATGAAATGGAGTCCTGAAATGATATTTCTAAGTCAAAGTCAGAGTCAAAGATTTATTTCCACATCATACAATGTTTGTACAGAGGTGAGTGGCAGTTAGTTGTGCAAGCAGAAAGCCCATGGTCCTGCAGAGCATATCAGGCAAGCTTAAACATAGCTTAAGACTACAATGGCAATACTTATTATATGTTTATATATAAGGACATTAAAGGTGTGCAAATCAATTTAGGCATTGTACATAAGATTTTAACAAAGGTATTAAGTAATGAATGTTATATGAGCCTATACTTTAAATTTTTAATTGAGTTACTGGCAAACATTTAATTACAGTATTATTATTATTGTATATATTGCAAAGTGTAAATAAATGCCAGAGTTCTGCTCAACAGTAATCATAAACTATAGTGTAGACCAAAATTTATGAAATATATAACCATGGAGAGCAATTTACGAAGCATATAGATGCAAGGAAGAAACAATTACACCCTAGTTAATTTTATGGTTTTAATTACAATACTACTTACCAACTTCCTTTTGGTCCCATGTACACAAATCGATAATCATCCTGAATATCCTCCCTAACTTCCCAAAATTCATTGAGCCAATCAGATGCAAAATACTGGAGAGTTGTATAAGCACCATAATCAGGATATGCTCTCACAAAATGCCAGTCCTGTAAAAGTGTACCTTAAATAACCAGAACATAGAGCACACTTAGTCTCTTACACACTAATTATATACCATGTAACCTGATACCAAATGATCTGCTAATATATGTACACATGCTATGTACCCAATAAATGCTCCTTTAAATATGTACATACTTTTAGCCCTTAATACCACTCCTTCTCTACCTAAATTATATATGAACTCATACTCAACACTATGAATGGTGATAAAATATCAGTATTACCTTCAAGTAAAGACACTGTTTAGATCCTGAAGATGTTTTCCTGAGGCCTCTCCAATAGTCCAAGTAGTCTTTCAACTTATACGTCTTCTTCTCCTGCGAGTCATAATGCTTTTGGTTGCAGTCTGCCACTGGCACTTCTGCTTCACCTGTAAAAGATGACACAGTGAAGAAAAGCAATTTTTTTTTTAACACGTCGGCCATTTCCCGCCAAGGCAGGGTGACCCAAAAAAAGAAAGAAAATACTTTCACCATCATTCGACACTTTCATCATCATTCACACATAATCACTGGCTTTGTAGAGGTGCCCAGATACAACAGTTCAGATGTCACTCCAAACTGTCAATTACCCAAATCCCTAAATTTAAAGTGCAGGCATTGTACTTCCCACCTCCAGGAGTCAAGTCTGGCTAACCATTTTCCCTGAATCCCTTCACAAAATATTTTCCTGTTCACACTTCAACAACTCGTCAAGTCCCAAAAAAAATCAATCGTCTCCACCCACTCCTATCTAACATGCTCACTCACGCTTGCTGGAAGTTCAAGCCCCTCACCCACAAAACCTCCTTTACCCCTTAAGATAAGATAAGATTTCGTTCGGATTTTTAACCCCGGAGGGTTAGCCACCCAGGATAACCCAAGAAAGTCAGTGCGTCATCGAGGACTGTCTAACTTATTTCCATTTGTCGGGTCCTTAATCTTGTCCCCAGATGCGACCCACCAGTCGACTAACACCCAGGTCATATTGCTGCTAGGTGAACAGGACAACAGGTGTAAGGAACTTACGTGTCGAAATGTTTCACACCCGCCGGAAATCGAACCGGCCTCCGCTGTTGAAGCGGGAGCTTTAGCTCACAGGCCACCGGGCCCTTATCTACAACCTTTTTTAGGACAACCCCTACGCCGCCTTCCTTAAATATTAAATATTTTATAAACATTAAATAAATAACAAAGAGTTACCTGGTGACTGGAACTTAATGTAGTATCAGAAATTAGACTATCAGTCTGTAATTAATACAAAAAACAATATTTATAATGCTTCGTGTTTAACATCATGAAATATAGTAGTTTATTAATGTTTCACTCACTGGTTGTCGCACCTCTGAGATTCAGTATAAACATAGTATAATTTACCAACAAGTAAGTTTATTTAGGTACAGGTACATATAAGTACAATTATCATACACAGTAACATGTGTAAATTACCTAAGATACCCCAAAAACTGTACATACACTAATTAGCCAATACATTAAATCTGCTCTTAATAATTTTCATATAAAAAAAACTTGTAATACAGCATTATTATTTCAAATATATGTGCAACATTGCTGAGAAGTTACTGATATTAGAGAGAGAAGTACTTACCGAAATTGTGATGCAGGTTATTCACATCAGTAGTTAAGAGCGCGTAATCTTTTCCACATAAAAACCGCTAATAGAGCATTATTATTTCAAATATATGTGCAACACTGCTGGTTACTTTTTTAAATTACAAATAAAAATACCTACCGAAAATTGTGTTGGAGGAAATCCACATCTGGAGTTAAGAGCGGCGTGACCCAGTCAGTCCTGGCTCGCCAGTCCTGGGTGAAGCTGCTGGAGAACACACACGGTCTGTTCTTCTCCAAGAACTCCCTGAAGAACTCCTCGTAGGTTATCTGACTAGAGATGCGGGGAAAGGTAGAAATAGGCTGGTGTTGTGGGTGGTGGTGGACTTCATGGCAGCTACTGAGCTCAATCATCTGGAGACGTAAACAAACAGACGACGCGCCTCTCTTACCCTAAAACTGCCAACTTATAAAAACTTAACTTATACTTAACTTATAAATACATTAAAATGATAATAAAATTATTATTTCTTATTAATATACATTGAAAATATATTAGTCATTTTTTAAGCTCATTTGGTTATATTTCTGACACGATAATAATACGAATTTTATTTGATACAACTGTATTTTTAATTAATAAATGCCCCTTATGGCTTATTGGGATTATCCTTGATAATATACACGTTACTATAATAATTACCTAAACAGTAACTGTACTTATGTATAACTGTACCTAAAGAAACTCACTTAATTAAGTACTTTGGAAAATAATACTAACGCTAACTAGCTTAATTCTAACCCTGAAAATTACTTACTTACTTACTTACTTTACTACTTACTTACTTTTACTTACTTACTTACTTAAAAGATAATTACAGTACATTAATTCCAATTAAATGTCTGCATGTAAGATTTGTTTATCGGCATAAAATGTTAAAAATCGTATATTTGTGTGTCTGAACGAGTCGCAGGAGGCCACCCAATAACCAGTATTTCTGAGAAATATTAAATATAAGATGAAAATACATGGATCCCAATGAAAATAAGTCACTTTGACTCTTATTTGGGTTATCCTAGGTAATTTATACTATGTATGATGATTGTACTTATGTGTACCTGTACCTAAATAAACTTAATTATAAGATTTGTTGGGATTTTTAATTTGGGAAGGTTAGCCACCCATAATAACCCAAGTCAATGCGTCATCGAGGACTGTCTGTCTTATTTCCATTGTAGTCCTTCAATCTTGTCCCCCAGGATGCCACCCACACCAGTCACCTAACACCCGGGTAACGATTTATTGCTAGGTGACCAGAGACAGCATACCTGAGGGGAGGGGGCATTCCGAGGGTCAACGACCCGCGGCCCGGTCCATGACCAGGCCTCATGGGGGACCACAGCCTGATCAACCAGGCTGTTACTGCTGGCCCATGTAAACCTACGTACGAACTACAGCCCGGCCAGTCAGGTACTGACTTTAGGTGCCTGTCTAGCTTCCTCTTGAAGACAGTCAGGGGTCTATTGGTAATCCCCCCTATGTATGCTGGGAAACAGTTGAACAGTCTTCGGCCCCTGACACTTATTGTATCGTATCTTAGGGTACTCACAGCTCCCCTGCTTTTCATTGGAAGGATGTACCGCCTTCCAAGTCTTTTGCTTTCATAGGGAGTGATTTCGGTGTGTAGATTTGGGACTAGTTTCTCTAGGATTTTTAAGTGTATATTATCATGTATCTTTCTCGCCTGCATTCCAAGGAGTACAGGTCGGGGGCCTTCAACTGTTCCCAGTTATTTAGGCGTTTTTTGATACTTATACGTGCAGTAAAGGTTCTCTGTATATTCTCCAGGTCTGTAATTTCGCCTGCATTGAAAGCTGCCGTTAATGTACAGTAATATTCCAGCCTAGAGAGAACAAGCGATGTGAAAATAATCATTATTGGCTTGGTATCCTTAGTTTTGAATCTTCTCATTATCCATCCTATCATTTTCCTAGCAGATGTGATAGATACATTGTTGTGATCTTTGAAAGTGAGATTCTCTAACATTACCTCTCCCAGGTCCCTCATATTAGTTTTTCGTTCTATTGTGTGATTTGAATTTGTTTTATACTCCAATACAGTTTTTATTTCCATCGAGGTCTGGTTTTCAATTTTTACTGCCAAAACTTCAACTACACCATCTGTGGTGTTTAGCAGTTCTGAGCATATGAGCGACTCACTGACATACAGGCCAACCCCCCCGTTGTTGCCTGTTCTTTCTGTCGCATCTGAATAAGTTGTACCCTTGAATTCACATTTCCCTGTCAAAGTGACCCTTTGTGTGGGTCTCTGTGAAAGCTGCAAACATTGCATTTGACTCTGTGAGCAGTCCGCTGATGAAAGACATTTTGTTGCTCTTTGATGGCTTTAGACCCTGTATATTTGGGCAAATACAAATATTGTAGTATTGATGGTATGTGGAGTGTAAGAAGACTAACACCCAGAAATCACTCCCTACGAAAGTAAAAGACTGGGCAGGCGATGCAAAATGCCGCCAATAAAAAGTAGGGCGCCATTGGTACACTAAGAGAAAACACCATAAGTGTCCGGGGCCCAAAACTGTTCAACAGCCTCCCATCAAGCATTAGGGGAATTGCCAATAAACCCCTGGCTGCCTTCAAGAGAGAGCTGGACAGATACCTAAAGTCAGTGCCGGATCAGCCGGGCTGTGGCTCGTACGTTGGACTGCGTGCGGCCAGCAGTAACAGCCTAGTTGATCAGGCCCTGATCCATCGGGAGGCCTGGTCATGGACCGGGCCGCGGGGGCGTTGATCCCCGGAATAACCTCCAGGTAACCTCCAGGTAACTTACTTACTGCTAGGTGAACAGGGACAGCAGGTGTAAGATGACTAGCACCCAAGTACCTACTTCTAGAATAGGGACAGCAGGTGTAAGGAAACATACCTATCGTTTACACTCCGTGTGTGAGGTGAGAGCGTTGCCGACAGAGCCACTGGACACATCATATGTATGGAGAAGTATGTGTTTGTATGAAGTGGAAATACGGAGAACTTGCCCAATTATATGTTTGCTCCCATAGGCTCGGAGACCCTTGGCCCATGGGGAAAGAATGCATTAAGGTCCTTAAGGAATGTATGGTCCAGTGGATTAAGGCGTCATGAGTTTTCGCCCACCATATATATATATATATATATATATATATATATATATATATATATATATATATATTATATATATATATTATATATATATATATATAGGGTTAGGGGAAGTGAATATTCAAACGGCTTCAGGAAGAAATCCAAATATTGTTCCTTGAAGTCCTTTTATCCACTTCTCCCAGGCTATGGGTCCCACAATTTACACCAGAGGTGGACCCCATCCTATATAATTATTTAATTTTATATTTATTTATTTATGCCTCAATTATGATAGCATATAATATTTACGATAACCCATTGAAGGCAAGTAATGTATTTTATGAATTATATATCATCATCGTGTTCAGTATTTGCAAGTGTTAAATGTAAAGTATAAATTGTTACACGATATGTTAAATAACTTTAATATACGAATTTGTGGTACTGGTGAGATTAATACAGCAGTTGTAGCAAGAACAGCTTCATGTTGTGTTAGTTTCTACCACTACTAATTGTTAGTGTTAGAGCCTTTTTTTGTTAGTTTTTCATGGCACAAGCTTAGTTCCTTTTTTACCGTCTTTTAGGTCAGAATTTAGCGGTGTTTGGAAATTTTTCAGTTGGCAACTATGGTGAGCCATCATCAAGGTCTGTGTTGACAGTGACCAACAAGATGTGAGAGGTGGTGGACGCTCGCATGTACTCTGTAGCAATGTCTCTGCTAGTTCACTTTCTGACGGCCTTGTGATAACCCCAGAGTGGAAGAGGGAATACCTAGATTACTGGAGGACGAGTATGGAGTCGCGGGAGGAAGGTTATAGAGGCGAGACGAGTGTAATAGAGACGGGAAAGATGGCACCCAATGGTGGCAGTGGGGAGAGTGGTAAAGAAGGTGACAACAAGAATAGCAGCTCCTCGTCCCTCATGCTGGGCCTCCTGGAGGAGTTTACTAAGATATATTCTGACCGTCTCCAGCGTGTTGAGGAGACGGCCATCAAGTGTGACCAGAAGCAGTACTTGGAGGTACGTACCCCCCCCCCCTCAAGGGAGGGTCCTGGACGCTGGTGACGGGCTCTTGATTTAGGGAATTGGATCTGTGCTCCAGTTCCCTGAATCAAGCACTCAGTACCTTTCATTCCCCCCCCCTCACATGCGCTGTATAATCCTACCGGTTTAGCGCTCCCCTATAAATAAAATAAGGGAGGTACGTATGTACGTACATTGACGTCAGCTCACAAGTGGCACTTACAAAAGGACACTTAAAACAAGGACCACTTTGAGCTAATCTATTTTGGAAGCTTGTGTTTTTTATTATGGAGACGTATATTTTGGGCCTATTGGGTATTTTTTTTATGATGATCCCCTTCCCCCCAAAAAGGTAACCTGACGTAAGCCCATTCTGAAATAACCTTTAATTTAAGTTTTAATCTACGTTAGGTAAAGTTCGTTAGGTTTGGTTACCAAAAAAAAAAAAAAAAAAAATTCCACAGGCCCGAAATATAGCAAGAGTCCATTGCACAGTCTACTGGAGGGATTTATGACCCTAGTGGGTTTAGCGCTTCGTTTTAGTTATTATAATGCACAGCCTATTTAAGCTTTTACATAATACCCTCTATAATTATCCATCTTATTGTACGACCTCAGAAGGAAGTTCCTTGATGCCGGTGAAGGGGCTCTTGATGCAAGGAATTGAACCTGTTCCCTTTCCTTGGATCAAACCAGATTTTTCGTCACTTCCCGCAAGACACTGTATAACCTCTACAAACTAAGCATTTCCCCCAAAATATAAATAATCCTAATTAGGATTTAAAGGTTGTAATTCATAACCAGCTAGATTAAAGCATTGATGAGCCTAACAGTTTAGTACCTATTATCTTGCTTTTTTGTAATGATTAAAGTCACATTTGGTCTGGGCCAAAGCCAGTCTCCGGAAGTAGAAAAACTCTCGAAACTCGTCAAAGGTAAAGTGGTCTGCTCTCGTATACACTTGGGTTTGAACTTGTTTGAATATATTTATGTATTTTGTGTTTGTATGTTTATATATATTTTTGTATGTACCTGTATGCTTGCAGGTGTTATATATTTTTGTGTATCTTTAGGTGTGTGTTTTTTAAATGAAGATTTGTTTGTATGGTATATTGTATTTTGTTGTATTATTGTTTGCATATAATATACATGTGTGTACTTGTATGACAGTGTATGCGTGGACTTGAAACTTAGTGAGGCGCACAAATCAGCGAATATTGATCACTGAAAATTCAGACTACAGTAGTTCAAAGCGCAGCTCATTGCAATTAAATTGTTGATTCTAGTAGC